CGATGATGAGACTGCTGTTAGAAAACCACACACAAAAACAAACTAACACATAATCCTCCCAGATTCCACGGAACTTGTTTATGGGCTTTGCCTCCTAGAACAGTGGAGTGGTCTGGTTGTTCGTGGGGTGGTACATATAAAGATCCTTCCAAGTAAAACCCAGAGGTGTATGAGTGTGGGTTTTGAGGAGGAGGGATAGTTGAATTTATAGAAGATAGGAGCTTAGTGACGAGTATAGATGAGCACTACCTTGCTAATTGTAGCACAAGGTAGGTTTGAGATCGACGAGGATGGCGAGGTGACGAGGTTCCCAGTGATAGCAGGCTCCTGACGCACAAACTGTAGTGCTCAGAAGGACTCTAATCGAAGGGGATGACAATCACTTTCAAAAAGTGAGTGACAATGACAGCAGTTAACAGTAGTAGAAGTGGGAAGTGTTGTGACCACACTGGATCACAAGTAGCAGAGTAGTGAACTTGAGAGTAGAGAAGAAGTCTGGATTTGAGTTCTTGTTTTTTTTACAAGGTAAAATACAGGGGTTTATATAGTAAAAGAAAAGTAGGCTATGCACAGTATAGCTGTGCAAAAAGAATGAGAAAGAACATGAAGGAAGGAATGTATGCTGACAAATCCTGCGTAGGTAGTACAGGATAAGATTGTCAAAAAAAGAAAAGAAAGGGATAGAACAATGAATGCTGTGAGTAATGTCACAGGTTTGTACAGCCATAAAGTAAAGTCTAATAGCAAAAAGAGAGCAGGAAAATCATGATGTCATGGGAAGATACAGTAAAAAAAGGGCAAGGCAAAACACTATCAGTATCAACACAGTTCCTTTATTGTCAGTCAGGCATTCTAAAAAATATGTGTCCATAAAAATGATTCAAAAATCAAAAATAATTGCACTGTAAATGAATGTTCTGCTGAAAAAAGAGAAACTGGAGCCACCGGTCCACCACCTAGTCCAAATCCGACAGTTCCATGGCCTTACCAATGGACTGGTTGTGTTGGACCACCTGATCAAACGAGGGAGGGAGGGGAGTAGTTCCAATTTGGAACAAGTGAGTCCCAGGCAGTGTGTGGTAGGTGTAGCTGTAGCGAAGACAATGGACAAAAGATAAGTGTACCCAAGTGAATGGGACGGCAATGAACATGGGCAACGCAAGGGGATGAACCTTCTCCAGCTCAAAAACTACCCACCCACGCTCCAACCAGGCAAGACGAGCGACCGATGTTTTGATAGTATATGATGGCAGATCGACGTCATAAAGATGGACCTGTTGCCCTATTTGAACCGGCCGCCTGGGCTTTGCTGATATCAGCAGTGGCACGTGGTAGTCAATGGATCGGCGACGGAAGCGGATAGGAAGTGGTGACATCAGAAATGGTGGGGGTGCAAATAAGATGAGGAGGAGGAGGAGGGTGGAGGTGACGAAAAAGTGGATTAGAATGGGGATCCAGAAACGACCGTCAGGTGAGAATAAAAAGGAGAGGAAGGGGCCCATGGTGGGGCTAGGCAAAGGAAGGGGAGTAAGGGAAACGACAAAAGCGAGGACGCAATGCAATGTGTAGCCAGTGGCGACGCGAAAATTTGCCAAAATGCCGAAACACAGAAAGTACCGAATGGAAAAGCAAAGGTGAGCGTGACTGGATTGCCTAATAGAGGTGGTGGTGATCAGCCACAAGTTCAAAAAAGGCAATATTAATTACTATTCCACGTGGCACTGTGCCTGTGTGGCGCAAAGGCGAGTCTTTTTGAATATTCGCTTTGTTATTGACACCTGTCCATGCTACCAATCAACTTTGGTGCATGACAGCGGTGTGGACACTAGATTAGGAAAGAGCTGTAGTTCAGCTGGCCCGTGCGTTTTGATGAAAATAAATTACTTACATCTTTACTTCTGTTTTTCTTGCAGCTTATAAACCTTCGTAGCAACCATATTTACCTCAGTCTTTCCCCCCGAAAGCTGAGGTGAGTATATGTCTGCATATATATGTAGTTTAATGTTTTACTTACCTCTGTACCTAGCATATTGTTTTGACTAGATTGTTTTAAGATCGCCTATGCCATCAGACCCGCCACTAAGCAATAAGCTATCCAAATTGAGCCCCAACCCAAACTCTGATCCCACATTGGAGCTAACCAAGCCGCTGGAGTCGGAATCACTTGATGATGACGTGGAAAGGCCGATAGACAAGTGGGCCGGTTTTTTCAGGGAAGCTAGCAAGTTGTTAAGTAGCATTGTTTGTGAGTTGATGAATAAACTGTTGAGAGCATCAAGATGCTGGTTGCGGATTGTAGGACGGTGTTGACTCATAGTTACAATGGATTTGTGGGGAGGCTCAATCTGATCTGAATTCTTATATATACAACCTTTGTAGTCTGACTTTGTATATCTGATCGAGAATTCATCTATACCCTTTCTGGTAATTATTTCAGCTTCAGACACTTACAAATCTCCATTTTTCTTTTTTTCAGGCTCCTGAAAATATTTCAGTGTTTACTTTGAACCACGCTAATAGAGCAGAATGATGAAAAATGATAAATTGATATATGTGATTATTTCGATGATACCCAAACCATAATAATTATGACAAGTATATATTACCTGACAAGGACTATTGACTTCCTGTCAGGCTGACAACTCCTAATCTGACTCAGATCTTCCATTATATCACCGTGTATAATCTGATATAGGTGGGCAAGTCTGGGAACACATTACAAACTCCGTCTGGTCATATCATTTCCTCACCAATTTCCTGATGGTGGCCTTAGGAAGACATATATAGGAGTTGTAGATAGTGGTGGAAGTTGTAGGCATATTTCTATATATTCAATGTATCATTTTCATGATTCAACAGTTTATTTGAGCCTACACTAATATTTCAAGTACTAAATAATTCATTTACAGTCCGACTTTTCACCCTATAGTTATGGGAAAATGTTTCCCCATTGGGATCCAAAAACTCGGACTTTTCCTTCTCATTTTTATGCTCGTTTCTAGAATAGTTACACCTCAGTTTGTATTGCACAAAACTGAGGTTAGTAGATACAGTCTTTTTTTCACATCTTCATTTACTTATTATGCTTCAGTATTGATTTCTTAGGTACAGCATAATAAATCAGAGTTTGTATTACACAAAACTGAGTATTGATTTCTTAGAGAAGTGAAGGCCTGAAGTATCTACTTGAAATACTTGGTGATCATGTCGGAATGTTGAAAGTGTCCAGTGAGATGGTGGGTAGATAGACCAGCCCACAGGCATACGAAAAAATGGCAGTTTGTTTCTCCAGCATGACATGCTTGGAGTCAGTACAGTATACCCATGACTCTGCAGGAAATCAATAAGCTTCACAAACACTTCTTGCCACATCCCCAACTCAGTCCATATTTAATCAGGATGACCATCCATTCTCTAACCCATCCATAACCTGTCAGAACTGAGTTATGATATGGCCTTGGCCATGGTTGCTGCTCTTGCTCCTCAGCAACAGCACAACAATTGATTGAACAAGGATTGCCATGAACCTCAACAAATGCAGGCCATATGACATATGAGAGGATCTGTGGTCTGGTCAATCTGATCCGGGGCTTGATTTTTGTCCTGTTTCCGGACTACGAACTTCTTCTATTTCATCCATGCGATTCGGACTCGATATTGAGCAAGCAAAAATCGATTTTTATGAAAAGTGAGAGTTCCCGTTCTAAGGTCATCACTGGGATGTAAGTACTAATACCCTCTAAACAATGACCACCATCTGCTTCGGGGACTCCCCAACCCAGATCACTCGCCTCTCTACTGGGAGATCGAAAATATCCAACGCAACGAAAGTGACCCTCCTCGCCGCTGCCACGCTCAACAATCAACCCAGCCACCAGCTCCTCTCCCCGTCCTTTATTCCACCGCACAGGAACAGCCCACACATCGCCCGAACACTCATCCGCCGTATCAGGGTACGCCTCTCCAATGCACACCCTCTCTCTTCCGCCCTCATTGTTGTCGCGTTCCATGAAGAGCTCAGCTCTGTCTGCCGTGGGATCCCACATCACTTTCTGAATGCTTGCCTTCATCTCCAAAACACCCCCATCCACCTCTCCAAAAGGCACCTCTTCGCTCGCAAGCACCACCTCACAGCGCACCATCTCGCACTCCTCGACGCCACCACATTTGTCTTCGTTCAGACGGTCGTCTATCTCCCTTGCAATCACTCGTCCTTCCACAGCAGCCCATGACCACGCCGGCGCACGATACTTCGCCGGTCTCGGGCAGCGCGTATCATCAGCTTTAAACCACAGCATATCTCTGTGCAGTGTGTTCTGCCACAATCCCGCGAGGTACTTGCCACCCCAGGCTCGATAAAACTGTTCCGCGACACCTGCCAGCGCGGTGAATTTATCTGAAGGCTCGGTAAGCTCACGACGTCTATAGTCCTCCACAAGGTCCTGCCACGCCCATCTTGCACTCTCCATCTCCTCATGCGACAACGGACAAGACAGGCTTGCCAAGAACACCGAGGTAGGCAGCTGCCGTCCACCTCTCGGTGCGCATATGGCATTTCCAATGTTCACCGTCTCCGTCTGGCACCCATACTGCAGTGTATGAGAGGCGTAGTTGAGCACGCGCGGTGAGAGGAGGCGTTCCTGGAAACACCATGCCCGACCGTGCACCGGCTCCACCGTGTCATCGTATTGCTCCCATACAGGCGACAAAAACACCGTGCCAAGAGTCGTCCATCTGGACATCGAAACGGGAGACGAACATCCTGCAACGGCACAGGCCCGATCCTGGAGGAACCCCTCGCTCACCTTGCCCGCACTCGCCGCCACGATCGTCACATACGCATCGCGATATATCCTGCGCATCTGTCTGATCTCCCTGTTTTTGTCTTTTCGCGAATCCTGGAGGATGCAGAACGCGTCGATCCAGAGGTAACGAAGGCCGAGGCGACACGTCGATAGTATAGCATCCTTGATGGTCTTTGGGAGTTTTTCGATGTCGAGTCCGTCGCGAACGAGGGAGTCTATATTCGCAGTGGTGCTGTATGGCTGCGTTTCGCCCCATACATAGCTGAGTGCTACATATGAGCCTTGGGTGCATATGACCATCTTGGGCCTGTTGGGTTCTGAGCAGTCGATCACTCGAGTGGGCAGGATCGTCTGATCTGGCTTTGGACAAGAGTCGTGATGACGAGTGCATTCAGCAATGCATTCAGAGGCCAACTTGTAACTCGCAAGCGAAGCGACATCCAGTACTAATTCTCTGGCAGCAATATAGCAGGCCGCATTGTCATCTGTGTCCACAATCACATAAAACGGCATGAGTGCAAAATCGGAGGGGGGGTGTCATCGCGGTGCACACTTGCCAGCTGTCGTATACGTATAGAATACGGCACGAGGTCTATCGTTAATCACCAATCTGAGCGTCTTGCCTCCTCTTGGCCTCGACTCATTCCTATCGCCCAAACTCCGCAAACTGACGGTGACTTTGAAAGTATGGAATGAAGGTGAGCCACCCTCTCTGAGTCGTACCCGCCATAGAGGCTCTTGGCTGTCCACGCGGTCTGGAATGAGTCGAGTGAGAATAAGCTATCCCAGCACGCGTCGCAGACCAGCGCCCTGGTGGTGTCGATATCGTTGGGTTGGGCGTTCATGTTGATGATAACGATGACGATGGCGGTCCTCGTCGTGATCCACAGCGGATGGGCAAGCTTGGATAAGACCCGGGTCATCGATCATCATTCTTTGATTTTTCAGGTCTTATCGAGTGACTCGTCACGAAACCCAAAAGACAGTAGCCTCTCGATTCACTCGACTCTTCAAGCTTCAACGATGGGCATTCTGCGTCTGACTCTAGCACACACGCAAGTTCATACATTTCATGAAATCGTGAGGCCATCCACGGTAGAACCCAGAACTCGCCACATTGACAAGGGGCATTGGACGGGGAGGAAGGAGGAGCCTCAAGCTAGCCCCAGCTCACCTCTCCACTGACCAAAAAATGACACAAACACACACACGCACTCGTCAGACAGAAGAAAGGAAATCAAAACATCTTTTATAATCATTTTTGCGCGTCTTTTTTAATAACCTGGGGGTTCTACTCTTTTGTCTTTCGGAGCTCTTGAAATAATGTCATAATGTACAAAATCGCATTCATGCACACAACGTGGAAACGGGTGTGAAAAGACATGTCATCGTGATGGGCGAGCGAGGTCACTGCGATAGTCGAAGATAAACCAAAAAAAATAAAATAATAAAAAACAAGGGGAAGGGGAAGAAAGGGCTCTCAATCAGCCTGGACTGTCACGTATCGGTAATAACAGCGCGAGACACGTACCTGAACGCCCCTTCTATGCACGACTTGACTTCCTTGTAGCTAACGACGAGACAGCTCTGTTCGTCCCTCGACACAAGCATAATACGTTCCTCCGTACCACAATCGAGCTAAAGCATGCCAAAAGTCAGATCAGCTCAGCTCAGCACAACATCCACCACCACCCAGCACACACGCGTGGCGGAATCACTCCCAAGACACCAAATCGCCAACCCAAACTCACCTTGTTCAAACAAGTCAACACATGAGACAGATTCACCACCGGATTTCCATTCTCGTCCACTTGGTGAAACACGTAGTCTCGGAAGAGCTTGATGATGTATCTGTCCCCCGTTTCGGACCACCGCGGTTGACGAGGGAATCTGTCGAAACCGTCGCAATATTAACAATGCCATAACGTCATAACGTCAAACGCAAGTCGAACAACGGAAGCGCATTGTCCACTTACTCTGGCCGTTCGTTGATAAACCCGAATTTGCAGAGAAGACGCACGAGTCGTCCGTTTTCGAGCTCGCTCGTCAGCTCGCTTTCTAACCGATCAGCCGAGCTATGATTTTTAAAAAAGTATGCGTATAATGTTCCCGTGAGAGGTGAAGAAAGAAAAGGGACATACCCCTGAACCTCATCCATCTCTGCCATCAACCGATTTTTGCCAATCATGTCAATCAACTGAGATATCGTCTGAACAAACACAAAACCACCACCACAACCACATCAGGGAAATCACAACACAAAGCACAATCGAGACGTTCAGCACAACCAAAATCGAAAAATTGAATAAAGCAAAAAACGCCACCCACCTTATGCGGCCCCGGTTTCGAAATAAGATACAACGCCACATTCTTGATATCACTCGAATACCCCCTCGTCAACGTCTCCACAGCCTTTGACAGCGTATTCATCGCCGCCAGATTGTTGCAACACAGCGCAAACAAAAGCCTCCCAAACATCACCAAGTCTTCTTGCTGCAACATCCCCACGTCCTGTCGTGCATCGTGCATCAGCACATCGACGATCCCGCACGAGCTGATTCGGAGCCTGGTGGGGAGTTTGTGTTGGGGTGTGGGGGACGGGTGGAGGAGGGGTGCGTGGGTGAGAGGGTTGTCAGCGATGCGCGAATGAGGAGGGTGTCATGTCATTTTCGTACCTGTTCTTTCCGGTGACCAAGACCTTGGTGGCATCAATCATGCGCGCCGCAAGCCCAGCATCATGTATGACGCTGATAGCCCCAGACAGCTGAATAATATACGACCACAGCACGCGCTCGGGGATGACCGTCGTCTGCGCCTGAAGCCGTCCATTCTGGAACGTCGGCACTTTGGGCTTGATGTGTTCGTCGTACAGCGTTTTGGCGTTCGCGTGATAGTCGTAGGCCACGATGAGGGCTGTTGAAAATAGGTCGAGTTAGTCCGATATGAAGGGATGTGGGGGGGGGACTTGCAGTTATCAGCGAAGGAGCGCGTGGTAAACGCCTCCTTCACGCGCACGATATTCGGATGCCGTACGCGGGCCCACATCTCAATAGCATTAAACGCTGTCTGGTGCATCAGCCTAAAATCTACCCATCGCACACGAACGTAAAATCCAGCCATCAGTGTCCACGAAAACCACAAACAGATGAGGTATTCGTACTTTCAACTCGCCGAAGCGTGTACGGCGCACCATCGGCGGAGCCGATGGCGCGGTAGACGGTAGAGTACCAACTGAAAAACTTGCGTCTCTCGCCGCTCAGGGACTCGAGCGGGACGAGGGTGTGGTACCCCTGGAGCTCTTCGGGGAGGTTGAGCCCCGGGGCGGGCGCAGTCCGGATAGTCTCTGAACGCTGCTGCAGTTCTTCGCGGATGTTGTCGGAGATGAAATAGGACGGTGAGAACGTGTCCGGGATCGGATGCGTGTAGAGGTGGTAGTTGAGCTGGAGGAGAGCACGGTTAGGTTCAGTTTGTATGGACTTGCTCGGATATGAGGGAATTGCTTACGGGTTGTCGGACAAAGGTGGACTGGGATGGAGGATAGAAACCGCTCATCGACATCATATGATCTTCGTAATCAGACTGATAATACGACTGTTCGTCCGGACTTTCACCATACAACTGGGCGTCGAGCTGCAAACAACTCGTCACCAACCACTCAAGGGGAGATGGCACACGACGTAAACGAAAAAAAACACGTACACCCTGCATCTGACCAGCGAGATCGTCCATGGCCAACGTGCCATCGGAAGGCTGAAAAGAGTAAGAATCATACTCGCCATTATCTTGATAATTGGCGTTTGGAGGAGAGGTGGGGGAAGGACTGTGTTATGAATGAAGTAGATGACGGGGTAAGGGGGGATAGGCATTCTTACGAGGCTATGGCGGGCTGTATGGTAGGCGTTGAAGGAGGGGAGAAGGCATTGATGCCGGCCTTGGGTACAAATACAGGAGCGTTGACCGCCTGAGCGGTCAGAGCGCCGGGCATGGGAGACTCAGAGCGTTGTCTACACAGTATAAGGTGCCACAGATGCATCAGCAGAAGAACGAGATGAGCTTACGCAGCGGATAGCTCCTCAGAGACCTTGCCGATCTGTGTCAAACGAGCGAAAAACAAGGAGGAAGGGAGGGACGCAGGGGGCTCACCGGTGGATGATAGTAAAGACAGCCTTTATCCTGGAACCTGCACGATCTGCGAGCCCCACCACCACGTTTCGGTCCCCCGAGATCGTCGAGCAGATATGAGACATGAGCACGTACCCGTATATCAAGATATTTCTACACTGGCGCTGGATAGAGTCTGGGGTGAAACCATGGTGAGACAAAAGACCTGGAATGATCATTAAAATGAGCGTGCCCTTCTTCATTTGAGGTTTTGATTTCTCCGAGTCGTCATGATCGGTAGGTTGGACAATCCTGACGGCAGCATTTGAGGATGTGGGCCTCGAGAAAAAGGCCATGTCCAATATATCTATAGAAACAAAAAGAAAGGAAAGGAAAGGATAAATGCTACAGTTAAAGCGAAAGAGCAGGCCCTGTCCCCCAGACAAGTTCTGGTACAGGGATCGTAGCAAGGAAATCCATTTGTCAGCCAAACCGACACCCGAAAAAGCCTCAGCGGTACTGGTGACTGTGGCGGCGCCTTTGTCCTTGCTCGACCACCATGGCCCTCAACAAAGACGCTGATGCCTTCAAACGCATACTGCATCGTCAGGACTATACCTCATGGCACTCACAGCCGGCACCATTGGACACCTCTGCACCAGCCGATCAGAAACAGACCCCCACAAAGAAAAAACGGCCCAAGACAAGCACGTCTTTGATTTTTTAGACATTTGTTCGACGAGCTGCGTTCTAAACAGGTTTCTTAGACATCGTGTACTCTCAGCCTGCCGACACGGGGACGGGAACCAATGTCAACACCCAGCTGGTCTATGCGATCAATCATCTCAAGGTGCGTTCTCGTCGTGTCATCGAACACACCTGGCTCATCCATTCTCGATGCGTTAGTCTACCCAGAATCCCATGCGGTTGCAAGACTTGGCGATCGTGACAAATACGCCTCTGGACACAGACTTTGTCTTGTTGGAGAAATTCAGAGCTCACGACCGTATCCAATGGGATCCAAAAACAGACCTTTATTCGTATCGAGTGCGTGGCTCCGTTCATCTTATCCGTTTTGCCATTCACGCTGGCATTTGAAAGCATGATTTCAACTTTCGCAATAAAGCTGCTCTGCTCACCGAAATTCAACGCCAAACCCGCAAAGGAGGGGGGATAATGGTGCGTTCCTTGAAGGAAGCATGGAAGGAGGCGCCACAGGCAATAGAAGAATTAGAAAAGGAGGGCGAAGTACTTGTCACACGTACAGTCAAAGACGGACAGTTGCGTATGGTCTTTTGGAACGAGATCAAACCAGACGAAGAGAGTGGGGGAAAACAAGTCGAGAAAGGTTAGCGATTCACAGCGAGTGCTGCTGAGTGTTTTTTCTTTTTGCTAACCCCGATATTCTCCAGAGTTTCTAGACCTCTGGCATCAGCTCAAAGTTCCAACCGAGACCGATCTCCTCAAAGCTCTCAAATCCGGTATGTGTATTGTTAGATGGTCTGTGTTTCAACCGTACATTTTTGTTTTAGAGGGCTTGCAAGCGACAGCTGCAGAAGCGCTAGCTCCCAAAGCCAATACGAAGAAGAAAGGGAAGCGGTCTGCCCCACGGCAGAGACAGGTACGGATAACCAATACTCATCTCAAAGGAGACATCGACCTTTCGAGGGATTATCATGCTCCTGGAAAGTAAGATGGGAACTTTTAATAGTATCATTCTACATGGACAATTGTATAGTACCTTCCTTCACTTCTAATAATTCATGACGCATTTCTGCTTAACCACTTCCATTGGCCTATAATACCGCACCTACTCCAACCCTCTAATCTATATTCCCTGGTAAGCCATCTAGAAAGTATGCATAATAACAGAAATCTCGCATAACGAAGAAAGTTCCTGTTTTAAAAATGCCTTCGCGGGCTACTCGCTTGACTACTATTACGGGTGCTCTTATCCTCGAAATCAGACCCCTCTGCTTTCAGTTCCGCGTGTCCCATGATCTCCAGCTTCTTGTCGAAATCACGTTTACGATATCCAGAAACGATGCGCTCAAGTAGATCAGACGTTGATACACCAGGTGTTCTTCTAGTCGGAATAAATTGGCCTATGCAGAAAGATGAAGGGCTGAGATTTAGCTGGGGAGAAGTGAAAACTTACCTCGCGCCTTGACAAATCCGTATACATCATCATATCCTTCGGCCATGTATGGGAGCTCATCATGAGCCACATAGTCAATTTTCCATTTATCCATGAACTCGGCAGTAACGACCCATGGAGGGTCAGAGATAACTTCATCCACCCATCGACAGTGACGGACGGCTTCACATCTTTGGTGTGGAATAAGCATCGAGTTAGATATGCACCAAGTGTACGAACCGTTCAGCGTGGGTCATGATGCAGCGAGCCTTGTTCAATTCGACGTCTTCGCTGGTGCTGACGCCAACGAGGAGATGTACATTGTCAAATGACAACTTGGCTTGGCGAAGCTGAAGGGCATGTCTAACGTGATATGTGAGGAAAGGACGTCACAAAAGGTTTTGAACCTCCCTACCCAAAGTGAAATAGGTCATACACTCCTAAAAAGGCCATGGGTATCAGTATGTGTGCCCTGAGCTTAAAATGGCAAAACACACCATCCGCATATATCCGTACGGGCCTATCTGTCGGGCATTTGTTGATGCTGTACTTTCTCGATGGTTCGCCATCGATAGCGTTCTTGACGAATGCCTTGATATGTTCGGGAGTGAGTGCAGCAGGGTTGAAAGCTTCTTGCGCTGCTGAGGTGGGCTTTGGCTCATCTGGGGCATAGTGTCTGTCAGAGGTTGCGGTACGACGTCCTACAGGAGACGAGGAGAGGGAGGCAGGATGGATCGAGGGAGAGGAGGCGCCATCGTCTGCTGGAGAGGTAAGGGTGGATACTGAAGAAGCGTGGTGGAGATGGTGTGATGATGGATGGGGGTCTGGTCCTGCCGTTGCGCTGGACTCGATATCGCCGTCGTATGTCTGGGAGTCTGTGCCGTCATCAGATAGGAGGCTGGCGGCAAGCTGATGGCGAGAACGAGACGAGGAGGATTTGTTTGCATGAGAGGTGGTATTCGTATGCCTGTTTGAGCGGGAAATGGGAACAGATACTGCCGAAGCAGCATCGTCTGTCAGAGGATCATTATCTTCCTCTGAGCTGCGAGTGACAGAGGTCAGCGCTTGGACGAAAAGCGAGTGCGAGGACGTACGCGTCGTATGTTGGAGAGTCAGTTGGCTGAGGATACTTGCCAATGGACCGTTTTGCATGCAGAGCCTTTTTGTGATGATGCAAGAGTTCGACTGGAAGATCCATGGTGGAGCTTTGCAAACTTTCCTCAACGCTAAAAAGCAGTCACGTTCATGTTTCCGTCACATTTATTTCTGCAAAAAATTCTAATCTAATCAACGCAACTGTGGGAACAGATATCCATATCGGGGCTCAGCGGAAGTCCAACTGCAACCCTTAACAGGTTCGCACGTTCCCTGGCTCATTCTGCTCAAGAATGGACAAGAAATCAGCAGAATCAAGCAAACAGCAACCTCAGCCCCAAACCCGCCGCTGTTTGGCTCGCTATCGCATATGGACTCTTCTTGCGGCCTTTTTAGCCCTGGCTGTCTTTTTCAAAATAGACCGTAATCCGTCAAATGACTATGCTGTGTGCTCAGAGTCCAATAAAATATACACCGTTGATGCCCTTCAGCCAAGGGTGCAATGTGTCGTAGTTCGTGACTCGCGCGTTCTGGACGTTGGAGATCTGGGTACGACCTCAAAAACTCTACTTGCTACCGTCAAATTGATAATGCCATCCAGAGGGCGTCCAGCAGCGTTGGCATCATCCCAGCCGTTCTAAACTCTCTCTTTGGCCCCTAAGTATTTTGCAGCCCGCATTGAAAACAATACACCTCAGCCCCGGTGCCATCATCGTGCCCGGACTGGCAGGTCATGAGCTGCCTATTTGGAACAGAAGAGCCTCAAGCTAACGTTACCCTCAGATGCACATGCTCACATACTGCAATACGGCTTCAAAATGAACCTCAACTTGGATGGATGTGTGTCCGTAGACGGTTAGCCATTTCTACCACTTCATAGAGGTATACATCCATGTTCATGATCGTCTGATTGCTGCGTGAAGAAATTCTGGCGCGCTTGAAAGCTTACGTCGTAACTCACCCAGAAGTACTGAATGACCCTTCTCGTTGGATACAAGGTATGGGCTGGGATCAGACAAAATGGCCCGGTGCAAAATATCCGACGGCGGTTTGTGTTTTCGCGCTTACTGCCAAGTTATACTTGTCTGATAAGGAGATATCAACATTCATTGCATTAAGGATCACTTTGACAAGGAACCATTGCTTCGCGGACGGTTTATATCATTGGCTCGCGTCGATGTCCACGCCTTGTGGGTCTCAAACCGCGTAATGCAACATATCGGAACTATCCCCGAGGAAATAGAAGGTGGAGCAATCATTCGTGGTTCCCGCGGGAAGCCAACAGGTGATTTCAGCTTTCCAGCTTCACAAGATATGAAACCGATCTTCCGATTCAGGTATATTCGTCGATAATGCCATGTCCCTCATCCGCACTCCTTCTTGGTCGGAGAGCCAAATGGCTGAATACTTCAACAGGACGGTCACAGATGGACTCTCATACGGCTTGACCTCTGTGCATGATGCCGCTACGGAACCAGAAATGATCGAGTTTTTCACAAAGCAAGTGGACTGCAATATCGATACACGCTTATTGCGGGGAGTACATATCTTACCTTTCATCCCCTCAGATATGCGGATGCCAGAGAGCTTCCTGTGAGTCATGTTCCACACGTCATCCGTGCTATATCTTTTTTTGTCGCTTCCCAGCTCAATGACCTTTCTAGCTGCGCCTCTATCTTATGGGAAACGTGCTCTCGGATGTCTACTGGGGTTCTCAGATACCCCGCCTTCTTGACTACGGTAAAGGCGGTCGCCTGAACTTGCGCAGCGTCAAGCTTTTCACCGATGGTATGTGCCGTCTATGGGCTATTCTGACCCAGTAAACTGTACATCATTCACTCACACCTTGTAGGCGCACTTGGATCTTATGGAGCTGCCTTGCTAGCCCCCTACAGCGACAACCCATCGACAAATGGACTGATGCGCTCAACCCCAGCGGCTCTATCTTCACTGGTCACGCAGTTCTGGGAAGATCAATGGCAAGTGGTAAGAAACATCAGTTCCGCTAATCCCCGATATGACTAAACAAATAGAATCATTTCACGTCGTTTGGTTTCACGCCTTGCTCGGGCAGAATATACACTGCATAGGCGACCGCGCAAATAAAGTAGTGCTTGATATATTCGAAGAGCTATCGCAAAGCGGGAATACGTCGATGATCTCTGACCGCAGACCAAGGATAGAACACGCGCAAATAATGACTCTAGACGACCTCGTGCGCGTGGGGTCCCTCGGTGGTAAATCACAGGCGCTCAGCCCTTTCTTAATTGCTACTCTAACCGTCTTTTGACAGTGATACCCAGCGTCCAGCCCACGCATGCGTAAGTTTTATTGGACTAGTACTGAACACAACGAGTGATTTTTTTCGTCTAGCACAAGCGATATGTGGTATGCAGAGCAGCGCTTGGTGAGTCCGAACGACATCTCAAATGGCCTGCGGACCTGATGTCCTTCCTCCAGGGACCCGAAAGAATCAAGGGAGCCTACGCTTATCGTACTCTACTCGAGTAAGCATCCGTTGTCCCAGCTCACCCTCAGCCTTGTAACATAATGCCCCACTCTGCAGGTCATCTCAGAATCAGGTCCTCCCACTGGGATCGGATTTCCCCGTGGAGGGCATCAACCCCTTACTGGGCTTCTATGCAGCAGTGACACGCTTGTCTGAGAGCGGGGAATCACCGCACGGCGCAGGTGGATGGTGCGAGCCTCTCGTCGTCCCCCCAACAACGCTGCATTCCGTCCTGACTTTCGGCACACAGGTACCCAGGGGAGCGCCTCACGCGGGAGCAAGCGCTCAAAGGCATGACCCTCGACGCCGCTTACGCCGCCTTTGCAGAAGACGGCATCGGCTCGCTGGAGGTTGGGAAGAGGGCGGACTTTGTGGTGTTGAGTCGTGATATTATGACCGTACGAGAGTCGGAGATTTTGAAGGCCGAGGTGTTGGCAACTGTGATCGACGGAAGGGTGGTATATGGTTCATTATAATCTGACATCTCCAAAATTTGCTGCATTTACCCCAAGAATACCATCGATCTTTAGTAGACTATTCTCACCCGAGCCCATATCCATCTATTCAGTCCACTGGAAATGTTATTGTAAGCTAGTTAAGCTGACGGTAGTATTAGCCTAAAACCGCTATCGAACACGAGAAGCCGAGAGAGCATATTGTTACATATTCAGGTATAAAACAAAGAAAGAAAGCCTACTACCCAAGGAACGAATAATGTATTACGATAAATAGTATGAACTGATATCTGTCCGCTTTGCCAACTATAAACCCGAGCTTTCTAAACCTGCCTTGCTCACACGACGCAGTGGTTGCAGCGTAGCTTCATCCACAGGGGCTCGCCGTAAATGTCGATATCGCCCTGTCGAGTCCTTGATTTCCATCTCCTGGCCCGCACCGCCAACCCTTCCGTCCGATGGTCCGCCTTCTAAAGCCGGTGTAGTGAACACGGGAGGTAGACTTTCTCTTATGTGTCCCGGCCGACGGTTTCCAGCGGCCATGGTGTAATTTCCGTGAGTGTCTCCATCGCGGCTAGCATCATGTTCCCCGCCCGCTGATGTCGGTTGCACCACACCCACTGACTTACCGCCAAGCTCCTGTTCTTCAAAGGTCATGAGCTCTGAAACGAACCCGATATTTGGGGAAATGCCCTTGCGGCGCTCCGTTACGAAAGAATAGGCACGGGAAAGCGTCCAGTGATTGGCATGGATGAGATACGCTATGACAGCGGTGACGGAACGCGATTTCCCGGCTTTGCAGTGCACATACGTGCCTGCGCCAAACAAATGCGCTTCATCTAATGATGTTCAAGTCATTTATATGATATATCAAGTAACCGGGGCGGGACACTCGTACCTAACACATCACATGCTTCCCTTAATCCCCTCGAAATGTTGTCCTCTTCCACAGTATCCTGCATCGGTATACGGACGTAACGCTCAAAAACCTCTCTGAGCCTCAGTCCATGGTCATCATCGCATTCAGCAGCAATATTCAGAATGCGCTTGATGCCTAATGCCTTGAGCTCCTCCACGTGCTCTGGTAATGTAAGCTCCGGTCCCAGGTAAAGGAAATTAGGCAGAATGGTGGAGACCATGAAGACCGGGAAGGCTTCTTCCGTCGTTGGGGGCTGATCTGAGTCAGGACGGGCTGTGCGTGGCGAAGGGGGAACCGGCATGGGTGTCCCGGGTGTCTGAGGGGTCGTAGATCCTGAAAATGATAGTGGAGCGGGAGGGAAAAACTCGCTCGGACTCGACGTCCATCGAGCAGAACCTGGTGGGGAGTGATTGGAGTAAATGAGATTCAGATGTGAAGGGGTATGGGGGGGAACGAAGAGACTAGATCCGGTATGAATCGGGGGAATGGTTAGAGTGGCCGCTCGAGTGGGGACAGTGCGAATCTGCAGCTTCGGGATATCTGCATTGAGCTTCTCTAGTGATTTTGTGTTCACGAGTCTCAGATTGGGCACGCTTGGTCGGCGAGAGGGGGGAGGGCGACGGAAGACGACCTGAGACGGAGGAGGGGAGGGACTGGGGTCGTCGATGTCATGCGAACTCATGGCTGCGGGCATCATAGGAAGAGGTGAGTACGAAGGCTGTTCAATCTCAGGAAAGAGTCTTGAACGGGCGGCAGCCTGCGTGTCAAGCTGGAACAGCCCTGCAGATTTTTTCGGTTGCATCGGGATCTCGTCGCGCGAATCCTCCACATCATCATCGGAATCAGATAAAATGAAATTTTGAAGATCTTGATGCTGACGCGCGGCAGTTATCCCTCCTCTGAGGTAGCATACGCTGCCCTCATTTAAGAGAGGGGCAAGTACAGGGAGGAGGGCCCACGCAGTCACTTGGGCATTATCTCTTTCCTTCTCATTTGTCTCTTCACCATAAATAATGATGACATCGCCGTCCCAAGATCCATCTACGGCCATTAGGTCATCCCAATTTTGTCTTCCCTGTTCTGTCGTGATATACTGTCGCAATGCATGTATATCTTTTCCCAGACTGCCGCCAGGTTTCCGGCAACGCTTGAGAATAAGAGAAGGAATGGCGACATTTACACTGTCTTTTAGACGGGAAGCCACGAATGAGGCCAGAGGACGAGTGTCCAATAGGAGAGGTCGTTTTAGTGATGTGAGGCGGCGGTATAAAGACCAAGCCTCGACAGAGTCGGGGTGAGGGGAATGATTGTGGACCTGTGAGTGAAAAGGATCTGGAAAGAATTTGCTTACAGTGTGGTGTGCACTGGCAGGCGAGGCGCGTATGTCTGTGACTGGGGTATAATATATACTGGAGGTGGTGCTAGCAGGACTTGACGCCTTGCGTTGCTGACTGTGGTCGCGCCAGGGAGCTGAAGTGGTGGGAATGATGCGCAGAGGAGATTTACGACGATTTGGGAGGGATCCAAAGGAGCGTATGGGTCGCAAACGCAGGTTCATCTGGACGCTTTTGCGCAGTTTTTCGAGGACAGCCAAGTCCTTTGAGAGATCATCTGCCTCTACATTGTCTGTACTATCTGATATAGGAGAAAAAGAGAAGGGCGAGGTGGAGGACGCGGAGGACGGCGAGGAGAGCTGGAGATGGTCGTCGTCGTCGCTGATGATGCTGGTGGGGGATTCGACGGCGATGGATGTTGGTTCGAAAGTGCGCCTGTCTGGGGCCAACGTGAGGTTTGGTGGGCGAAAGCGTTTGCTGGTCGCCATCGATCGCGCTGGTCCCGCAAGAGAGGCTTGGAGTGGCATGACAGCTTGCAGTAAGACCTCTCCTGCATCATGCGGCCACTCCACCCTCCCCGGCCGGCCTTCATCCCTGTTCCCGGCGATCTGCACGCCGGTCTCGATATTATATTGTTTTTTATTCCCACGCACAGGATAATGCGGAAACCCTTGCATTATTTTGAAACTCCACTGAACTCTCTTCTGTTTCTCCCCGCCCACCGTCTGTCCGTTCTTGTCGTCCGCCATAATGTCCTACAAATCTGCTGCTTTTCGAAACCAAAACTCGTCAGAACAGACTGACACAAAGTTCCGTGCACAAGCACAGCAGCTCCAGGAACTATTCCCTGCCTGGTCCAGTGAAGGTTTCTTGCTTTTACCGCCCTTGCATCATTCGCGTGGTTAACCTTTTTTCATCTCCAGACCTCCAGTCTGTCCTGAATGAAGTCGGTGGAGATGTAGAACTTGCTGTCACTCGTATTAGTGAAGGTACGCCTGCTCTTACTGTGTTCCTTAATTAGAGCTGGAAATTATTCCAGGTCACGCTGAGCAATGGGGAGCTGTAACACGCAAAAAGGACAAAAAAGTATCCGGATCGCAACCTTCTGCAAAGGACTCGAATGCTACTCGGGATAGGTCTGAATCCCGTGGAGGCCGAGGTGGGCGTGGCGGAAGAGGTGGAGCTGGCAGAGGTGGTGCTTCGCGTGGGCGTGGCTCCTCGCGTGGCGGTCACGGTGCACCTAATGGCCATCCTCCCCGCACACAACCTGTTCCCCAGCCGCCTTCATCAGCTTCACCTTCAACGTGGGGTGACGGTTCTGCTGCTCCCGAAACTGTAGCCGCTGTCTCTGACGCCAAGCCTGTTAATGGATCACGGGCAGTGGAACAAGATCCTCCAGCCCAGAGTTGGCCAACAGATGCAGTTGCAACAGATGCTCAATCATTTTCACAGCCCACGGCATCAACGTCGGCTTGGGGCACTTCGAGCACGCCCGCCTGGACTTCGGATGCAGATACAGCAGGTGCATCGTCTTCGCCTGCAAAACCCTCAACCGCGAGCTCCGCCAAAATAACGAAGACACCAGCAACGTCAAAATTATCTTGGGCTCAAGTTGCTAGGTACGTGTCGCGTGCTCAACGGTTACATATAGCTCCTAACAACGGGCTCACAAAGGCAGCAAGACAAGCCCGCACCCGTCCCGACTTCGGCTCCACCACCACCTGTGGTAACCCAGGAACCTGTGGAGCCCACGCCAATTCCTGCAGTTGTTGACGAAGTCGATGGCGAAACTCAAAGTGAAAACCAAGGATGGGAAGAACCCACCACTGTTCAGCCGCCTCCTTGGGACGACGAGCCTCAGCAGAAACCAACCTCTGGGCAAACATGGTTACAACCAGATTCTCATGAGTCTCAGGAAGAGTCGTTACCAGTCGTCAAGGAGTCGGTTGTGGAGGATGTCCCTCCAGCAGAGGTACCTCACGTCCAGCCTCAGCCCCAAGTTGCAAGGGAAGAGTCGGCGGTCCCTCCCGCCCTATCAAAGTCGACCACAGTTCCGGCATCACGTCCATCACCTGCTCAGCATCGCAGTAGCGCTAGATATAAAACGATTGACCAAGCTGTAGTTATGCCCAGCTCAAGTTACAGTTCGGGTTTAGAAAAAATTGGTATGCAATTCGGTAGCCTAAGTTTGGGAGGTGACACCCTTACGGAGTTGAATATGTAAGTGCTCGTTGCTTGAATGTACCCGATGTGTGGAGGCTGATCAGAACGTTGACAGCCCTGAAAGCCCTGTGAAGGATTTGAACTCGGGGCCCACTCACGAAATCAGTCAACCCAAACCACAGATTCCTCCGTCAGCGCCACCCGTCCCACACTCCCAGGTCCACGAATCCTCTTCTATTCCATCTTCGACCCAAGGTTCTTTAGGTGCTGGATCAAACTATTTCACCCAAGCTGTACCTCCTCAAACACAGCAACACGTTGCCCCCCAACCTGTTTCGCAGTCCCAGCATTCACTTCCTAATGCCATGTCTCATGTTCAAGGGCAATCTCAACAAACGTCGACACAGGCTGCAGCGAATACGTCTCCTGTCAACTCGTTTTCGCAACAACCTCAATCTGGATTGCACTCGTCTTCTATTACAAACCAACATCAATCACATTTGCCGTTGAACCAGCACCAATCTCACTCCCACCATCAGTATACTCAGCACGGCCTGCCTACGCATCTCGATACTTCTCAGACTTCTTCGCAGCAATCCCCTCAACACACTTCACAAGCGTCTCAGCCCCAAGGCGCTACCAGCCATTCGTACTTCAGACAGCCCGAAGCCCCTTATTTCCACACACCTACCCCTCCTGCTGGGCAAGCCCAAGAGTACAGTGTGTTTGGACAGATTGGACAGCAGCAACAGCAGCATCAACAGAGTCAAAACTCTCATTTGCCTGGATTTGGTGGAAACGAATTTGGATACGGAGAAAACCAAAGGGTAGGCTGATTTTATGTTATTTTCTCGAATATTGATATCAACATTTTCTAAGGGATTCTATGAATCCTATGCTCAATCTCCTGGTTTCGGAGGTAGTCGGAATGTCCTGGGCCACGAAGAGGTCAAAGGTCTTCCAGCATCTCAGCAGCTCCCTACCAGTGCAGTCCTCCCACCATCAAGCTCCCAGTCGTCTCAAATGCCACAGTCTGCTCAAAATAATGCCCAGCAACAACCTTCTGGAGCTCAAGGGCCCCAGCAGGGCTACCCCCCTCCCGTCCCTTATTACTACCCTTACCCTCAAAACCAGTTCTATGGCACGCCTTACAATTCTGGATATGGCGTTCCACAGCCATTTGTGAAATACCCCACTATGTTCCAGCCAGGGCCTCCTGCTCCTGGCAGCGCTCCGTCCCCCGCCGCCAAACAACCGGCATCTGTCCAGGCTCAATCAAATCCCTATAGCCAGAGCCTTTACGGACAACAACACCCAACGTCGGCGTACGATGACATTGGTTACCAACATCACACGGCTCAGCACAACCACAACCAGAGCGTAAGTAATCTCCCATCCACTGATTACGGCAAGCACCAGTTGTATGGCGCACATGGCGGACAGAGCATACAGAGCTTTATGGGTCTAGGCCAGAGTAGCGTTGCCTCTTCGGGCGCACCACTTGGGTCGCGTGCGGCAGGCGGTGCATCTCCGGAAGCGGCGTACAAGCCGTATGGTCAAAATGTAGCTATGAAGGACGGTGGTTCAGGTGTCGGCGTTGGCGTGAGCCAGAGCGGAGTTGGTCAACCGCAGAACAGCCGTGGCGGGGTGCAGCAACCTCACAGCCAGGGAGGATTCTACGGAACGAACCGTTATAACTCTAATGCGAACCCTGGACCCCAGGCTCAGCAAGCGCAGCAGCACCAACCTCAAAACCAAGGTCCCCAAGGCCACCATGGATATGCCCAAGGGAGCAATGATCAAGGCTTTTACTCGTATCAGCCAAGGCAGCAGCAGGGTTACTGGCAGTAATGTGTTAGTCCATGTCTGAAGATGGAAGTGTTCAAAGGTGGTGGCGGTGATTACTTTGAGTTATTACTTTGAGTTTTGCTATTTCTTTGTTTGTTTTTTCTTTCTTCTTCTCTCTTTCAGATCCACACCTCTCTGTTTATATGTTTTACAACTCGCCTGTCTATCATACATCTACAAGCGCATTACACTGTACGTCTTAGCACTAAATTCGGGATGAATTAGCCTCGAGTATCTTGCTCTTTTGTTTCTATGCATCGCGATGCGATATCTTGGTGAGGCTTTGAACTCTTTGTCTGACTCGGATGAATGAAACATTGCGGCTCGTGGTGGATCATGCATGCTGCCGCTGTTTTACTAAGTTCAAAATCTAAACGACCATCATAGTCCACCCGCAAAACCCAATGTCAAACTGACATATCATTGTATCTTTTATTACAACGTTTACGAAATGATCAGATTCATAATATCTTTTAAATAAACATTCCCTTCGAGGCCCAATATTTCATCCAAAGGCCTACATCTTCAGATGTAATAGATGCAAGCCCTCTCATCGTTTGACTCAGTTGCTGTGCGTTCGTCGTAGAAAAGACAACAAATCCTCCTGTTTCATCTTCACTTGTTACTTCTCGAATTGATTTATCACTTTGGGCGATCATGCGCATGAAAGGAAGTAACTTCAGCGCGGGCTGGGGTGGAAGGTGATAATCATTAGCCTTGTGAAGAACATTAGTGGGCAAACCGACACGTACCATTTCCTTGAAATCTTCTGTACTCGCGCTGATTGCCTTCTGTTCTAGTCTCGAAAACCATTCTTCGAATGCCACAGTAGGAAGCGGGTTAGGTAACAATTTGTTTCGTATCAGTGCGTCCCCTATGGGCTGCATCAGTGCTGCCCATTGAACAGGCCGGGGATGCACCAAGTTGATTACTGTAGGAGGCTTCGCCTTTGCAAAGGCAACGTCCAAGATCGCTTGAGAAACCGCATGAGGAGGCAACCAAGACACAACCTGTTTGTTCCGTCAATTTGATATCTCAACCAAAATGAGGGCCCTTATTCCTTTCGCAACTGGTAGAACACCTAGCGCTGAACTCGATTTGACGAGCATAGGGAACCAGTCCGTAACACTCCAGGCTCCTCTTGGTTGTCCCCCTGATATTTGTCCTATCCTGAATGATGACGCTTGTAAACCGCTTTTTTCGAGTATCTTTTTGAGAAACAGAATGATGAATAGGCAAACGACACTAAAGATAAACAATCCACTGCTTACTCGCTCACAGACATATTTGCTAGCGCCATAGCCAGACCCACCAGACGCGACATTTGCATCAAACAGCACTTCCTCTGGGCAAGCACCCTTGCTCTTGTCCCACCCTTGTGCGGAGGAAATAGATGATGTGAACAAAAAACGTAAACTTGGAGCATTAGGGGATGATAGCGCGAGGTCTACGAGCTTCCGAGTTCCCTTGATATTTGACCCAAAGGAAGAGAGAGAAAGACTGAAATCAAGACGCCAAGCGTTATGGATGATGATGTTGATGGACGTTCGTAGCTATCAAGTGTGACGTTATAATCAGGTATGTTAGCAACTAGTCGCGAGCTCTTCATTTGTGCTCTTACCTTATCATAAGTAGCGTCTCCTAGGCCTAGTTTATCCTGTACGGCATCGCCTTCAATATACCGGAGTTTGGGCGAGCTCAATAGAGCAATATCCAAACCCCTATCCTCGAACCCTGCCTTCTGTCTCTCTTCACTTGATTTTCCATCCTTAGATGACCTATTGAAAGCGTACACCAGGCTAACCTGTTCATTTTCTAGCAGCGACGCAAGGAGGTAAGAGCCTAGGCCACCAGTAGAACCGGTGAGTAGAACTACGTGACAACTATGGCCATCCCCATTAGGTTGCTCTACCTGTGGGCTCAACGTCCCCGGCAACCCTTCAGAATACATTACCAGCGTATTTTCGAGCTCTACCTTGCGATTGATGAGACTGCCTTCTTTTCCAGTGAATTGTGGGTTCGAGACCACACGAGCAAGTGCCTGAGACAGTCGCTTGATCGTAGGATTACTGAAAACGATATTCTGGTCTATTTGCCTGGCTGTTGTTCGCACATTACTGTCTGTTGAGGAGCTAAGTGACCCAATGATTCGATTTCTGAGAAATGTTGCAGTTAAACTAACAAAAACGAGACATAAACACTGTGAGCTTCATTTGATGCAAGGCAATTAGAACATACCTATCAAAACCTTGTTCAAAGACATCCACTTCGGGGTCTACCTTCTTATCTGAGTTAACGCGAGCAGCGTGCTCCCCAAGCCACACAACCAAAGATTCCTCTGACCAGTCCTTCGGTAATTCCACATCTTTGTTAACAGTGGTGCTAGCTTCAACTGTGTCATATCTGTTGGAACGACAATTAGTGTTATGTTAATTGCTTGTGAGAAATTATACGAGCAGAGCGTCGATTTCCTTATCATAGATTGTCACGGCTGCCTTTCTCATAACAGTTCCTTTCCCCGTGCGAGGCAGGGGTTTATCTGGGCGAGTGATGAGGATCATTTCTTTGAATATGCGGCTGAAGGCTGGTGCAGCTTTATTCGCTTCCTCAACTTCCGGCCTGCGGAAGAAAGTCCAGTTTAAACCACAGGGCTACAAGCTTAAGGAACAGCACACCATATCCTATTCCTGACAGCTGCCACTTGCTTCGGGTCGTCGATATTCACGTCAAATCCTTGCCTTGGTTCGATTAATATCCCCACGTGATTACGGGCACGGCCAAACATGACAGTACCTCCCACTACAGGGTTAGATGCAATGGTATTCTCCATAGGCGCAGGAACGGTTTTTTCTCCCGACGAAAGGACTATAATGTCGTCTTTCCTTCCCACCCTAACACAGGAATTAGCATGAAGTCGATTGAAGCGATAGTTATCTTACAGCTTCCACAGTCCTTCTTTAGTAGGATGCTTCAAGAAAATATCTGAGGTCGCATAGCCCTTCACATCTGGGAGATTCTCTACTGAAACTCGATGCATTTCACTTTGCTATAGATACTTCTGTCAATTTCGTAGATACATCCAAAATGAACGTCACTTACCAGAATTTGACATTCATAAAGTCCTTCTCCTTGTGGAACCCATCGAAACATTATTCGAGGGCCCAGATATATCCATACCCAGTCCCATACCTCATCTTTTCGGCGAAACATAGTACTAAGACCACCAAACTCCGTGCCACCGTAAACATTTATCAGAGGTATTCTTACTGATGCCAGCGCATCGCCCACTTTTTCAGATAACGGGCCACCAGAATATGCCTATAAAGAGAGAGGTCACGTAACTCCACCCACAACGGCAAGGACGGTACTTACAAGAAATCGAAGTGATTTCAATATTTCTATCGCAGAGGGAGATAACGCCCACAACTCAATAAATGCAGGAACCGCTATCAATGCATTGCAGTTCGTCCTTTGCACACCCTCAATTATATTTTCAGAGGTTGGGATCACCGGAATAGCTTTCGGGTCATTATACGACGTGGGCGCATAGACAGAAACACTGCGAAGGGTGATCAGTGGCAGGTATAGTGAGCAAACGATGCCAAGAGTATGGAACGATGGCAGCAGCATCACACCAAGACGTGTGTCAGCGGGGTAGAGTTTGGTATCGACTACCGTGGCTAGAAATATTTTCATTAAATCATTAAGCTAAAACAAAATTAGAGATGTCCATACCTGCAGCACACCAATGAATGACTGTCTGATATGTCTGGGGAATAGCTTTCGGGAAGCCAGTACTCCCGGAAGAATGGAGATACATCATCACTTCGCTGGCAGAAGGACGACTTGGTCGCGCAGGGAATGGTTCGAAATGATCATCAATTGTTTCTAATCCGAGCTTTGGGTATATATGCGCAAGGCATGGAACATCTTGTACAGCGAGGTCAAAGGATCCGAGCTCCGATTTAACGTCGTTCAAGAGGGGCTGGAGGGAGTGCTGAGTAGTTATCAAACGATGACAGGAAGTCTTTAGAAACAGATTGGAGACGGCGGCTGCAGAATTTCGTGGAGACATCGGAAAAGGCTACCATGAAAGTGAATGTAAGCCATGGAGTTTGATTTCCAAGGATACTTACAACGTATCCTGCAATTATCGCACCAACCAGAAGGGCGAAGTACTGGATGGTGTCAGTCACGGCAATAATAGCGATAGTTTCGCCGTCAGGGCCTGTGCGGTTAGGACGAAGTGCATGTGCAACACGATGACAGGCTCTATAGAACTCTAGGTGCGAGATGGACACGACTCCGTTGGCTGACCCATCTTTTGGGAAGACAAATAGAGGTACGTTGGAATTGTGTTCAGCATTAAATGCAACAATTCCAGGGAACAGTAAAGAGCCGTCCACAGGTGGATAGTGTAGGCTGGATGCAAAGGTGTGATCTGCCATAGTAAATAATAGCGAGAAATGTAATAAGCCCAGTGCAAGGCATACATCACCGCTCGCTCTTGTACTTATGTTGCACGGAAAATTCGGCAAGATACGTGAGCGCTTGAGCGGCAACTTGAAAGTACTTTCGACTTTGAGTTATTGACGACAAACCGGTTATCGTGGGCTAGGCCAATGCATGCATAACTCCATGATGAAGACGTGGCTAGTGAAATGGCATATTATAATTAGGGTGCTAAGTTCGAATATGAGGATAATTCCACCCTTGTCAAACTGTCCTGAGCTAGATCCGAGCTATTCTGATTTTCGATGTGGTCTTTGTTGAGCCGCTGGTATTGCCAAAGCCATACAATGCATTGGAGATAAAGTTTGAAAACAGATCTTTGAATCAAAGCTGGAAGCCGTCAGAACATGTCGTGGAAAGGAAGCTCAGCGTGAAGAATTCATTCTAGGAGAACTGACTTTCGAAACCCTCCCACACGGACGATGACTTCTTCTCGTACGCGTCGTCAGTATCAAAAGAGTGCCCGATTACCGGAGCACGGGAACATGTAAATTGGCACCACCAGCGGTGGGACTTCTGTGCTTGAGAGTCTGTGAGAATTCGAATACAGTCGATATCCTCACAGTGCATACCTCGAAAACTTCATGCCTTATGAGACATAGTACTAAGTACTAAGTACAAGCCTCAGCTGTTGTGACCCGTGACAAATTAACAGAGAGAATTTCGAATCCAATTTTTTTCTCCTATCATGGCTAATCCGGCTAAACGTTAACCAAAGAACATGATTCCGCTGTGACTGCGATACATCGTCAGACATTTGTCGGAGGTTTTTCGTCCACCTGCTGAGAAATGTGATCTGATACAACTCTGATCCGCAAAACTAAGAATAATCCTCATGGCTTGATTACTGCCGTCCTTAAGGCTCAACCTGTTAAGTTCGAGGTTAGTCGATACAAATTAGGAGCAAGTAAAAATGAAAATAATCAGCCAGCCACAGTCCAAGTTGACGCGCGGAAAAGACCTGCCATCATTCAACCAACTCGTTGCGCGGAATTCATAATTAGTTTAGTAAGCTGCCAACTTGGGTAGTTGAGTAAGTTCGAGCAAAGATAGCAAGCTCTAAGTTCAAAAAACCATCAAAAGGAAGCTCTGCAGGCCAAATGAAAGGCCAAAGACATGGGAAAAAGTTGATGGCTTTGAGTCCCATCAGCCCAGAGTATCTGAATGTTCTCAGCCCATTTCTACAGGTGCATATATATTCAAATTTGTCTTCTTGATTATGTCTGTGACAGGTTACAGATCTGTATTGTATTGGAGCTAATATTGGACCCTCAGGTGCATTTCTGCACTTCAGGCAACCACTTTGACAGGGCTCTTAGCCCTAACATATTCTACTAAGGTATGGGGCTAAATGCCCAAATGCCCATGGTCTATGATGGTCTATTGTAGTGTTTTAAGGGAGCTTCCCATATTAAGTGGAAGATTCCCATCTCCTACTATACTGATACTTGGGATTAGACCTTGAAATATACAATGGGATATTCCCTGGTACTAGTACAAGTGGGAGTATCCCACTAATTGTCATATGTCACAGGGTGTCAGGGGTTTTCTTTTGGTGGCCTATTCCCTTAGTGGCTTTTTTATTAAGGGATATTCCCTCAGTGGTATTTTTTTTGGACAAAGAGACTTTTAGGACTATAGGCAGAAAGTCTAGTACTAAGTAATGTATCAGTAAATATTGTAGTGATGCTAGTTAATGAAATGTCTCACCTCAGTGTTACAATTTGACATACCAGTACCTACTCACACTTTACTTTTCGTACTTTACTTTCACTTTTTCCAAGTCACATGACCAGTCATGTGACCATTTACTTTACATTTCATTTTCGGACCTTTCCTTTGATTTTCAATCTCCGCTTTAACCTTGTACTGTAGATTTCACACTGTGCCATGTGGCACTTCCCCTTTTAGTTCAAACTCCACCTTTCTCGCGCGGCGCTGCCTTTATTCTTATTTTAGATACAAATATCTCACGCAGTGGAGCTGGTCACACGGGCTAGGCCCCATGACATCAGCAGCCACTGCCTCTAGCAACTGTACAGTACATATGTACAAACAAACATGTATTCAGTATATATACAAGAGCAATACATGGGGAAGGACTCAGTGAGTCCTCCTGTTGTCTAGCACAACTAACTCACTGAAACCTGAGGGGTGATCCCTTCTTCTCTTTTCTCTATAGTGTGTTCCTGTGTGCGCCGGAGTAACTAACTCTTGGTTGTTACACTCAGTCCCTGATGTTAAAGACTGAGGTGGCAAGACATGAGAATGTGTGCACTTTGGAGGTCATTACATAAGCGGTAATTAGTAGTCTATAATTGGTGATCTCAAAACAAGGAAGAAAATGGAAAACTTTCAACACACCCCTTCAATGGTTATAGTCCCTTACTTAGTCAGTCCCAAACCCTTGCAAAATAGTTGATGCTTGATCTGGGGTAATGGCTTTGTGAGGATGTCTGCTACTTGTTCTCCTGTTGGAATTGACTGTTGGAATTGACACTGATATTCCCAGACTCGAGTTTTTCTCATATGAAATGATATCGAATGGAAATATGCTTGGTCTGATCATGGAAAGTAGCATTATTGGCTAGAGCTATAGCCAATTGATTGTCAATGGTTAATTTGGTTGGTAAGTCACCAAGTTGTCCTAGTTCGCAGAGCAATGTTTGCAACCAGACAGCTTCCTTTGTGGCTGTTGAGGCTGCCATGTATTCTGCTTCAGTACTGGACAGAGCAATGACTGTTGCTTTGTTGATGACCATGTGATGGCTCCACCCGCACAAAGGTAAACATAGCCTGAGGTCGAGCATCTGTTGTTTACATCAGATGCCCAGTCTGCATCCACATGGCTTAAAGGCTCACTAATGCTTTGTGTTCTGCCATAACAGAGTTTTGAATCAGTTGTGGCTCATAGATATTTGTATACATGTTTTATTGCAGTCCAGTGGGTGTGGCTTGGTTTCAATGCATGCCTACTGAGCACTCCGACAGCGAACACCAAATCCGGACAAGTCCCAAGCATTGCATACATGAGAGAACCTAGAGTACATTGATACTCCTTGGCGTCTATCTCTGATTCTGATAGGATTTGAGGGCTGGATCCATGGGTGTTGAGACAGGTTGGCAGTCTTTCATTTCGAAATGTTTGAGGATTGACTCAAAGTGTTGTTATTGTGAAAGTTCTATTTTTTTCTCATTTCTGTCTCGTATAATTTCCATGTTTAGGATTCACTTTGCCTTGCCTAGATCCATCATTTCATATGCTTCCTTCAGCATTGATTTGACTTCTTCAACGGCTTCAAGACTGTTTGAAAATAGAAGTTTGTCGTTGACATAAATGGCCACTATGATTGTAACCTTGGCTTCTCTTTTGTAGAAGACAGCATGGTCAGCATCACACTGTACAAAAGCAAGGCTTTCAAATAAAATTCATATTTTTTGGTACCATGCTTGTCCGGCTTGTTTTAGACCATAGATGGCCTTGTTCAGCTTCCAGACGGTGCTTTTAGATTCTGAAAAGCCAGGTGGGCATTCTATGTTAAGTTCTTCTTCAAGATCACCATTTAGGAATGCTGATTTAACATCTATTTGGTGGACTTCCCAGTCGTGCTTTGCTGCAAGGGCTAAAAGGGCTCTGATAGTCGCAAACTTTGTTACAGGTGCGAAGGTCTCTTCAAAATCAATTCCTTCGACTTGGCTAAAGCCTTTTGCTACAACTTGGGCTTTGTAGTATTCAATTTTGTTGTCTGGACCTTATTTGACCTTGTATACCCATTTGGATCCTATGACTTTTCGCTCTTTTGAACTGTGCTGTATATACTCATTTTCTTGAATATTTCTAGCTCAGTGTGCATGGCCTCGAGCCATAGCAAAGCGTCTTGACAAGACATGGTGTCATTATATGTGGTTGGGTCGTCAGTGATTGACACTTGATAGGTGCTCTCACTGACACCCATTTGTGACTGGTTCGCATGGGCAATATTGTTGCCTTGCGGTTGCCTCGCATCAGCATTGCTCTCATCTATTTGACTTCCCACATTCTCACATCTCACAGCTTCATCATTTTCCTCCTCTCTTCTCTCATTTTTTCTTACAGTCCATGGTTGATATGCATTTACAAGAAAACGCAGATCGTTGTCGCGGTGTCGATGATGAGAACTGCAGTTAGAAAAACCACACACAAAACAAACTAACACACAATCCTCCCAGATTCCACGGAACTTGTTTATGGGCTTTGCCTCCTAGAACATTGGAGTGGTCTGGTTGTTCGTGGGGTGGTACGTATAAAGATCCTTCAAAGTAAAACCCAAAGGTGTATGAGTGTGGGTTTTGAGGAGGAGGGATAGTTGAATTTATAGAAGGATAGGGGCTTTGTGACGAGTATAGATGAGCACTACCTTGCTAATCGTAGCACAAGGTAGGTTTGAGAACGACAATATGACGAGGTTCCCAGTGATAGCAGGCTCCTGACACGCAAACTTTAGTGCTCAGAAGGACTCTAATCGAAAGGGATGACAATGACTTCAAAAGTGGGAAGTGACGATGACAGCAGTTGATAGTGGTAAAAGTGGGAAGTGTTGTGACCACACTGGATCACAAGTAGCAGAGTAGTGAACTTGAATTTAGAGAAGAAGTCTGGAATGGAGTTCTTTTTTTTTTTCTTACAAGGTAAAATACAGGGGTTTATATAGTAAAAGAAAAGTAGGCTATGCACAGTATAGCTGTGCAAAAAGAATGAGAAAGAACATGAAGGAAGGAATGTATGCTGATGAATCCTGCGTAGGTAGTACAGGATAAGATTGTCAAAAAAAAGAAAAGAAAGAGATAGAACAATGAATGCTGTGAGTAATGTCACAGGTTTGTACAGCCATAAAGTAAAGTCCAACAGCAAAAAGAGAGCAGGAAAATCATGATGTCATGGGAAGATGCAGTAAAAAAAGGGCAAGGCAAAACACTATCAGTATCAACACAGTTCCTTTATTGTCAGTCAGGCATTCTAAAAAAATATGTGTCCATAAAAATGATTCAAAAATCAAAAATAATTGCACTGTAAATGAATGTTCTGCTGAAAAAAAAAAAAACTGGAGCCACCGGTCCACCACCTAGTCCAAATCCGACAGTTCCATGGCCTTACCAATGGACTGGTTGTGTTGGACCACCTGATCAAACGAGGGAGGGAGAGGAGTAGTTCCAATTTGGAACAAGTGAGTCCCAGGCAGTGTGTGGTAGGTGTAGCTGTAGCAAAGACGATGGACAAAAGATAAGTGTACCCAAGTGAATGGGACAGCGATGAACATGGGCGACGCAAGGGGATGAACCTTCTCCAGCTCAAAAACTACCCACCCACGCTCCAACCAGGCAAGACGAGCGACCGATGTTTTGATAGTATATGATGGTAGATCGGCGTCATGAAGAACCTGTTGCCCTATTTGGACCGGCCGCCGGGGCTTTGCTGATATCAGCAGTGGCACGTGGTAGTCAACGGATTGGCGACGGAAGCGGATAGGAAGTGGTGACATCAGAAATGGTGGGGGTGCAAATAAGATGAGGAGGAGGAGGGTGGAGGTGATGAAAAAGTGGATTAGAATGGGGATCCAGAAACGACCGTCAGGTGAGAATAAAAAGGAGAGGAAGGGGCCCATGGTGGGGCTAGGCAAAGGAAGGGGAGTAAGGGAAACAACAAAGCGAGGGCGCAATGCAATGTGTAGCCAGTGGCGACGCGAAAATTTGCCGAAATGCCGAAATGCGGAAAGTACCGGATGGAAAAGCAAAGGTGAGCGTGACTGGATTGCCTAATAGAGGTGGTGCTGATCAGCCACAAGTTTGAAAAGGGCAATATTAATTACTATTCCACGTGGCACTGTGCCTGTGTGGCGCAAAGGCGAGTCTTTCTGAATATTTGCTTCATTCTTGACACCTGTCCATGCTACCAATCAACTTTGGTGCATGACACCGGTTCAAATAGGGCAACAGGTCCATCTTTATGACGTCGATCTACCATCATATACTATCAAAACATCGGTCGCTCGTCTTGCCTGGTTGGAGCGTGGGTGGGTAGTTTTTGAGCTGGAGAAGGTTCATCCCCTTGCGTCGCCCATGTTCATCGCTGTCCCATTCACTTGGGTACACTTATCTTTTGTCCATCGTCTTTGCTACAGCTACACCTACCACACACTGCCTGGGACTCACTTGTTCCAAATTGGAACTACTCCTCTCCCTCCCTCGTTTGATCAGGTGGTCCAACACAACCAGTCCATTGGTAAGGCCATGGAACTGTCGGATTTGGACTAGGTGGTGGACCGGTGGCTCCAGTTTTTTTTTTTTTCAGCAGAACATTCATTTACAGTGCAATTATTTTTGATTTTTGAATCATTTTTATGGACACATATTTTTTTAGAATGCCTGACTGACAATAAAGGAACTGTGTTGATACTGATAGTGTTTTGCCTTGCCCTTTTTTTACTGCATCTTCCCATGACATCATGATTTTCCTGCTCTCTTTTTGCTGTTGGACTTTACTTTATGGCTGTACAAACCTGTGACATTACTCACAGCATTCATTGTTCTATCTCTTTCTTTTCTTTTTTTTGACAATCTTATCCTGTACTACCTACGCAGGATTCATCAGCATACATTCCTTCCTTCATGTTCTTTCTCATTCTTTTTGCACAGCTATACTGTGCATAGCCTACTTTTCTTTTACTATATAAACCCCTGTATTTTACCTTGTAAGAAAAAAAAAAAGAACTCCATTCCAGACTTCTTCTCTAAATTCAAGTTCACTACTCTGCTGCTTGTGATCCAATGTGGTCACAACACTTCCCACTGCTACCACTGTCAACTGCTGTCATCGTCACTTCCCATTTTTGAAGTCATTGTCATCCCTTTCGATTAGAGTCCTTCTGAGCACTACAGTTTGTGCGTCAGGAGCCTGCTATCACTGGGAACCTCGTCACCTCGTCATCCTCGTTGTTCTCAAACCTACCTTGTGCTACGATTAGCAAGGTAGTGCTCATCTATACTCGTCACTAAGCCCCCTATCTTCTACAAATTCAACTATCCCTCCTCCTCAAAACCCACACTCATACATCTCTGGGTTTTACTTTGAAGGATTCTTATATGTACCACCCCACGAACAACCAGACCACTCCACTGTTCTAGGAGGCAAAGCCCACAAACAAGTTCCGTGGAATCTGGGAGGATTGTGTGTTAGTTTGTTTTTTTGTGTGTGGTTTTCTAACAGCAGTTCTCATCATTGACAGCGCGTGGCGCCCTTGGTTATTATCATTTTTTTGGGGAGCGGCCCGCGCTCCGTTTATGCAATCTTGGGCCATGTGCCCCTCCTGTCCACAGCTGAAACAGGTGAATCTGCGCTTTTGTCCGCCTTGGACCGCGCCGATATCCATTGGAGCACCCCAACCTGGTTGCAACCCAAAAGGCTGGAACCCGTGAGAATGATGCAATTCTTGGTTTGAAGACCCAGGGCTCCTCTGGGAATAGTTATTTTTGGTGGTGGTCCCGTCACCTTGGTGCATCTTGTAGAGCTCTATGGCCCTACCTATTTTCCAAACCTCCTCCGCTGCTTGGGAGAGGTTGTCGCTTCTCATATCCTGCAGATAGAGTTGTTCTGCAATATGAGGGTTCACATTGTGTTCCAATAGCTCTACTGCGTGTTCATTACCTAAGCCCCCTTGGATAGAGAGGGCCAGGAACCGGGTAACATAATCATCCGTCCTCATGTTTCCCTGTTTGAAGGAACAGATTTATTGGCGAGCCCAGTCATGCTCAGCCTGTGGTTGAAAATATTTTTCAATCTCTACTTTGAGATCATCCCAGGTAGGCCACACTCCTGCGGTGTAGCATTCCTGGAGTCTTACTTGGGCGTATTGACCCGCCACAGGTCCTTTTAGTCGAGATAGCACCGCAGTGGCTACCTCAAAATCATCAGCAAATGCATCCCAATTTGCTTTGACCCAAATCAGGAGTTTGATCCACCATTCGGTGAATTGCACTCTTTCTCCATCAAAGGCACCAGGGTCAGTGACGACTTCGACTTTCTTGTTGAATTTCTTTTTGACTGAGGGGGCTGCTGCAGGGGGGTTTGCCTGGAGCTCGGCAAGTTGCGTAGTTAACGCTAAGATCTGTGAACGCATGCTGTGTAACAGAGCGTTCATGTCGGTTGGTTGACTTTGCAACAACATGTCGACATGTTCTCTTGGTAATGTAATAAAAAAAGGTAACTGGGGGTCCCCGCTTGCTATCTGCGGATTAAACTCTTCCCAGCTGAGTATTGGATCTCAATCTCCGACTACCCACACTATAGTATTTGAAAAAGTATATAAAAAGTATTTGTAGTAAACCTTGGTCTGAATGGTTGTCAGGGGGTAGTCCGCTTGTTAAGCTGTCAAACCTTCTCCAACTGGTGGAGGCAAGTGCCTGGCCTGGTCAGAGGTATTCAAAGAAGAAGTTTTTGTTTTTCTAAATCTAATCAACAGTGGTTCCACACCAACTGCTGAGCTAAAGTACTCCCTTTAACACTAGGGGCCGTGTATATGATAATTGTCCCTTCTCCCTGAGCACTACGGGGCCATTGCTAGGAGCGCACCCTTCTGCTATACCAGATATTCCAAAACAATAACCCCTTAACCCTGGGGGCCGGGTTTGCACAAAGTGCGAGAGAGTAGTAAAGAGTGAGTTCTAATGTTACAACCAAGAGTTTGTATACTTTGGTGCACAACTCAGACTAAGCTATAAAGAAGTGAGGGGAGTGGTTACCCTTTAGATAGGACCGAGTTTGTTGTGGGTAAACAACAGGAGGACTCGCTGAGGAGTCTCCTGGATCTATTGAGGTTTATATACTACTACAGAATGTTTGTACTTATGTACTATACAGTTGATGAAAGCAGTGGCTGATGATGCCAGAGGGCACAGCCTGTGTGACCAGCTCCACTGCATGAGAGACTTTGTAGCTAAAGTAAGAAAAGCAGCACGGCATGAGAAAGTAGAAGTCTGAACAAAAGGGAAGTGCCGCGTGGCACGAGTGCTTGAGAACTTTTTGAGAAAAGAAAGTTAGAACAGAGAAAGAAGTTTGTAAGTCCAAAAATTGTGTATCTAACAATAGATGTCTGTTTTCATTTTATTCGAGAAGTGGCTGATCAGGGAGTCATTTCACTGACTTTCTGTCCAACTGATCAAATGCCTGCGGACATGCTTACCAAGCCACTTGCTCAGTTCAAACTCGACATTTTTACTGCTATTCTTGGGTTGTGTTCGGTTTGAGGGGGTGTGTTAGCTATAGAAACATCATAGTTACTCTACAATACACATATACTATTTTCTTTCTTTTCTCTCTAACTAGAACATGCTGATTGCCTGTTCTACTTTGCGCTTTTTTACTGTTTACATAATGGACACTTACTTTCCCACAGTTCTTTCTGAAAACTCGCAATTGCCTCGTTTGCAAACCTCAGTCTTCTTGTTACTATGATACTATAATATTCCCTTTTGACAACACTTACTGATCTTACCTTAGTTTTTCTCCCAATAGGTACTTATCCAATAAATCAGTCTTCTTGTTACAGGACTGAGTTTTTCTCCCAATAGTTCTCAACTCAACAAGGATGCCTCTTGCTTCAGGTCCAAGAAGCTTTTCATCAGTCCTATTGAGGCAACCAACTAGTATTGACACTATTCTAGTGCTTGCCAGCCCACAGATTTGCCACCATTTCATCTGAGGGGGATTAGAGGCTGACAATATCAAACTTGAACATGTCTGTGCTGAATTTCAAGTTGAGAATGTTCTTACAAGGGGACTTCAAAGGCAAAAACAAGATATACTATCATTGTGTATCGGAGTGAAGCCACTGCATCTCTATTATTTTTTCATATATCTTACTAGCACTCAAGGCAATTGGAGAACAGCTGAGTGCTTGTTGATTATACAAACTCGAACCTCATAAACTTCAGGTCAAAATGATATAGCAGTGTGTATGTTACCAATGAGTGAAAATTCAGTCTGCTCAGATTCCATGATATTGAGTTATTTTTACATAAACATTCCCTTTGAGGCCCAGTATTTCATCCAAAGGGCCACGTCTTCAGCTGTAATCGGAGCAAGCTCTCTCATCGTTCGACTTAGTTGCTGTGCTTTCGTCGTAGAAAAGACAACAAATCCTCCTGCTTCACCATCACTTGTTACCTTTCGAATTGACTTATCACTTTGGGCGATCATGCGCATGAAAGGAAGTAACTTCAGCGCAGGCTGGGGTAGAAATTGGGAGGTCCTGAGCCTTGTTGTGAAGAACATTAGTGGGCAAATAGGCACGTACCATTTCCTTAAAATCGTCTGCACTCGCGCCGATTGCCTTCTGTTCTAATCTCGAAAACCATTCTTCGAATGCCACAATAGGAAGGGGTTTAGTTAGTAAGTTGTTGTGTACCAGTGCGTCCCCTATGGACTGCATCAGTGCTGCCCATTGAACAGGCCGGGGATGCACCAAGTTGATTACTGGAGGAGGCTTCGCCTTTGCAAAGGCAACGTCCAAGATCGCTTGAGAGACCGCATGAGGAGGCAACCAAGACACAACCTGTTTGTTCCGTCAATTTGATATATCAACAAAAACGAGTGTTCTTACTCCTTTCGCAACTGGTAAAGCACCTAGCGCTAGACTCGACTTGACGAGCATAGGGAACCAGTCCGTAACACTCCAGGCTCCTCTTGGTTGTCCCCCTGATATTTGTCCTATCCTGAATGATGACGCTTGTAAACCGCTTTTTTCGAGTATCTTTTGAGAAACAGAATGATGAATAGGCAAACGACACTAAAGATAAACAATCCACTGCTTACTCGCTCACAGACATATTTGCTAGCGCCATAGCCAGACCCACCAGACGCGACATTTGCATCAAACAGCACTTCCTCTGGGCAAGCACCCTTGCTCTTGTCCCACCCTTGTGCGGAGGAAATAGATGATGTGAACAAAAAACGTAAACTTGGAGCATTAGGGGATGATAGCGCGAGGTCTACGAGATTCCGAGTTCCCTTGATATTTGACCCAAAGGAAGAGAGAGAAAGACTGAAATCAAGACGCCAAGCGTTATGGATGATGACGTTGATGGACGTTCGTAGCTATCAAGTGTGACGTTATAATCAGGTATGTTAGCAACTAGTCGCGAGCTCTTCATTTGTGCTCTTACCTTATCATAAGTAGCGTCTCCTAGGCCCAGTTTATCCTGTGCAGCATCGCCTTCAATATACCGGAGTTTGGGCGAGCTCAATAGAGCAATATCCAAACCCCTATCCTCGAACCCTGCCTTCTGTCTCTCTTCACTTGATTTTCCATCCTTAGATGACCTATTGAAAGCGTACACCAGGCTAACCTGTTCATTTTCTAGCAGCGACGCAAGGAGGTAAGAGCCTAGGCCACCAGTAGAACCGGTGAGTAGAACTACGTGACAACTATGGCCATCCCCATTAGGTTGCTCTACCTGTGGGCTCAACGTCCCCGGCAACCCTTCAGAATACATTGCCAGCGTATTTTCGAGCTCTACCTTGCGATTGATGAGACTGCCTTCTTTTCCAGTGAATTGTGGGTTCGAGACCACACGAGCAAGTGCCTGAGACAGTCGCTTGATCGTAGGATTACTGAAAACGATATTCTGGTCTATTTGCCTGGCTGTTGTTCGCACATTACTGTCTGTTGAGGAGCTAAGTGACCCAATGATTCGATTTCTGAGAAATGTTGCAGTTAAACTAACAAAAACGAGACATAAACACTGTGAGCTTCATTTCATGCAAGGCAATTAGAACATACCTATCAAAACCTTGTTCAAAGACATCCACTTCGGGGTCTACCTTCTTATCTGAGTTAACGCGAGCAGCGTGCTCCCCAAGCCACACAACCAAAGATTCCTCTGACCAGTCCTTCGGTAATTCCACATCTTTGTTAACAGTGGTGCTAGCTTCAACTGTGTCATATCTGTTGGAACGACAATTAGTGTTATGTTAATTGCTTGTGAGAAATTATACGAGCAGAGCGTCGATTTCCTTATCATAGATTGTCACGGCTGCCTTTCTCATAACAGTTCCTTTCCCCGTGCGAGGCAGGGGTTTATCTGGGCGAGTGATGAGGATCATTTCTTTGAATATGCGGCTGAAGGCTGCTGCAGCTTTATTCGCTTCCTCAACTTCCGGCCTGTGAAAGGAAGTCCAGTTTAAACAACAGGGCTACAAGCTTAAGAAACAGCATACCATATCCTATTCCTGAAAGCTGCCACTTGCTTCGGGTCGTCGATATTCACGTCAAATCCTTGCCTTGGTTCGATTAATATCCCCACGTGATTACGGGCACGGCCAAACATGACAGTACCTCCCACTACAGGGTTAGATGCAATGGTATTCTCCATAGGCGCAGGAACGGTTTTTTCTCCCGACGAAAGGACTATAATGTCGTCTTTCCTTCCCACCCTAACACAGGAATTAGCATGAAGTCGATTGAAGCGATAGTTATCTTACAGCTTCCACAGTCCTTCTTTAGTAGGATGCTTCAAGAAAATATCTGAGGTCGCATAGCCCTTCACATCTGGGAGATTCTCTACTGAAACTCGATGCATTTCACTTTGCTATAGATACTTCTGTCAATTTCGTAGATACATCCAAAATGAACGTCACTTACCAGAATTTGACATTCATAAAGTCCTTCTCCTTGTGGAACCCATCGAAACATCACCCGAGGGCTCAAGTTTATCCAAACCCAATCGCATACCTCGTCTTTTCGGCGAAACATTGAATTAAGGCCACCACACTCCGTGCCACCGTAAACGTTTACCAGAGGTACGCCTACTGATGCTAGCGCATTGCCCACTTTTTCAGATAACGGGCCACCAGAAGATGCCTATAAAGAGAGAGGTCATGTAACTCCACCCACAACGGCAAGGATGGTACTTACAAGAAATCGAAGTGATTTCAATATTTCTATCGCAGAGGGAGATAACGCCCACAACTCAATAAATGCAGGAACCGCCATCAATGCGTTGCAGTTTGTCCTTTGCACGCCCTCAAGTATATTTTCAGAGGTTGGGATCACCGGAATGGCTTTTGGGTCATTATATGACGTGGGCGCATAGACAGAAACACTGCGAAGGGTGATCAGTGGCAGGTATAGTGAGCAAATGATGCCAAGAGTATGGAACGATGGCAGCAACATCACACCCAGACATGTATCAGCGGGGTAGAGCTTGGTATCGACTACTGGTGCTAGAAATATTTCCAGCATAAATCATTGGGCTGAAAAAAAATTAGAGATGTCCATACCTGCAGCACACCAATGGATGACTGTCTGGTGTGTCTGGGGAATAGCTTTCGGGAAGCCAGTACTCCCGGAAGAATGAAGATACATCATCACTTCGCTGGCAGAAGGACGACTTGGTCGCGCAGGGAATGGTTCAAAAGGATCATCAATTGTTTCTAATCCAAGCTTTGGGTATATATGCGCCAGGCATGGAACATCTTGAAAAGAGAAGTTAAAGGATCCCAGCTCCGATTTGATGCCATCCAAGAGGGGCTGGAGGGAGTGCTGAGTAGTTATCAAACGATGACACGAAGTCTTTAGTAACAAGTTGGAGACGGCAGCTGCAGAATTTCGTGGAGACATCGGAAAAGGCTATCATGAAAGTGAATATATGCCATAGAGTTTGATTTCCAAAAATACTTACAATGTAGCCTGCAATTATCACACCAACCAGAAGGGCAAAGTACTGGATGGTGTCAGTCATGGCAATAATAGCGATGATTTCACCGTCAGGGCCTGCGCGGTTAGGACGAAGTGCATGCGCAACACGATGACAGGCCCTATAGAATTCTAGGTGCGAGATGGACACGACTCCGTTGGCTGACCCATCTTCTGGGAAGACAAAGAAAGGTACGTTGGAATTGTGTTCAGCATTGAACGCAATGATTTCAGGGAAAAGTAAAGAACCATCCACAGGTGGATAGTGTAGGGTGTATGAAAAGCTGGGATCTGCCATAGTAAATAGTAATGAGCAATGTAATGGGCCTAATGCAAGGAGGGATCTCTCTAACGTCGCTCCTCGCTCTTCTACTTATATTGCACAGAAAATTCGGCAAGATTCGTGGACTAGGCAAATGCATGTATGAATTCATGATGAAGACGTAACTGGTGAGATGGCCTGTTATAATCAGGGCGGTAGGATCGAATTCTGATAATTTCACCTTTTTCATGCTGTCCTGAGCTTGCTTGATCCGAGGTCTTTGTTGAGTCGCTGATATTGCCAAAGCCATACAGTACATTGCAAATAAATCTTTGATACAAATCTTTGAATCAAAGTTGGCGACCATCAGCACATATCACGGGAAGGAAGGTGATAAGCAGGACAATTCCGTTCTAAGATGACTGACCTTCGAAGCCCTCCCACACGTACGATGTCATCTTCGTTACTTATCGGTACGCCTCGTTGGTACCAAAAGGGCGCCTCGATTACTCAAGGGAGGAACTGTAAATTGGCACGACCAACAGTGGGACTTCTAAGCGTAAGCTTCTGTAAGAACCCAAATACATTTGATACCATAGTAGTGCATACCTCGACAACTTCAAGCATTACTAGTATGAGATCTGAGACATAGTAGTACTCTATTATAACGACGTCCGTGGTGTTTTCATTACAACCAGCTTCTGTGACACGTGACAAGCTAATAGAGAGAAGTCACTAGTAGAAGTCCGCGTCGAACACCGGCAACAGCATGCGCGCGGAACTTGAGATCTGAGACCTGAGACCTGAGACCTGAGGACTCTTGAGGATCCTAATCTTTTCTTTTATGGCAGTTCAGAAGGCCTCGCTTGGTGTTGTGCTCCAGTACATTGCATCGCATCTAGTGCTGCCAAGAAATTGATATGGCACCGAGGGTCACATCCTCCTCAACCTCAAATTGCAACAAGGAACGCAATCATAACCATATTCAATCAAAAACTAGAACAACTGCGGGTGTTCCATTGATATTGGAGGCAATCGCAGTGTTGCTAGAAGTAATGTGTTCGTTTATGTTCATGTTCTGACTATGCCGTTTTCAAAGATTGTGAGTCTCTGCTTATTCGTAAACCATATGTACTTTTATAAATTATAATCCAAATCTGCAGCAGATGATCATTTATTCATGACCTTTTGTCTTTCTTCACGATTTGTATTCCATCAGTAAGCGTAGGCGAAGAACTTCGTTTGCGCCTTAAAGGTTTTGTTTCTGATGGCTTGATGTACTTGGGATCCCGATTCAACCTTTGTCGAGCAAACATGGCTTGAATTCCATCTTTCCGACTAGACAAAGGTTGAATGTAAGTGGCAGACTCGGCCCCTACTCTGCCTACCTCCTTTGGCACTTGATAACTAGGGAAGAGAATGCTCAGAACATCTAACGCAATGAATGTTATCAGGTTTACCATTTCAGGGGAGCTTCTTCATCGTGATATGGTCTCATCATAGCTTGGAGTTTGGGATTCCAAGACTGCGAAGAAGTATCAAGCCAAGAGTCAATTTCCTCCTGTGATGTCAATATAAGAGGTTGACGGTCATGTAGCCAGCTTAGTTCTTTCGAGGCGTCTGTGGTCACAATGGCAAATTCACACAGTGGCCTACTCTCTCCTGCATAAAAGGAAGCCAGAATTTTAAACCGATAATCGAGTTGAGCAGCGTATTATTATAATCAGACTGATAAACCTACCTTCGACTGCTACCGAGTCGTACAGACCAGCCAGCAGCATTATTTTACCATCACCATGCTGAGTAAAGTGAGGGAATCTGTCTTTGCCTTTCTTAAGCCATTCATAATACCTAAATTTTGATTAGGAACGTATGGCAATCCGTGCAAGGTGAACATGTACCCTTGACACACAACCACACATCGTTTCTTGCCTCTCACCTTATTCCAGACACCAACGCCTTCGAGTATAGTTTCAGTACGAGCATTGATAGCATTTTGTGATTTTTCATTCTCTTTGCTCCACTGAAAGCCCCAGTGCATAGTTTGCAACATTAATTCTGAATTTGCAGAGTCTCTTCTTCGTACGACAGGAGCATTGGTGTGCGGAGCAATATTATAGCGTGGCTGTATTAGTTTATAAGTCGGGTAATATGCTTGGTGCGATTAAGCGCAGAGCTAACCACAAAATGCTCTTGGTCAACCCATTCGTCTACTTGCATATTAGGATATCCTGGCAATGCCTGTATCTCATCGTGCTATGGTCCGACATCAGCGTACGTTACATTTTAAATTGCTAGCTCAGACTTACTCGCAGACCCAAAGCAAAACGTCCACACATACTGGACTGGATGGTTGTTGTAGCCAACCAAGACAGGAATGTGTCAATTAGGGGCTGGCGTGATTAAAACTCCGGTCTAATATCGTGACGGGGTTCCTTGCGTCGCGTTACTGTCACACTCCATAATCACTTCATGTCTGTCCAAGCCACACCCTCAGCGGTTTTAGAGTCTGTTATACTGAAAACTCTACATGCTCATAGCTTTTCACGTTCTTCTCTGCAAGCATCCTCAATATTGGCAGACATTTTGTCTCGCTTTCTGACTATTTTGTCCTCGACATGTGGAAAATACGCCGAGCACGCAGGCAGGCCAACTCCTACGGTACATGATGCACTATGGGCGCTCGATGAACTGGGTATGAGTATGGACGAGCTCAGTGCATACTGTAGCTCGGAAGGGCTGGAGCTTGGAAGGTATGTGGCCCGTAGTGCGAAGAGATCAGAAGAGCTGCAGGAGTACAATGGTCAGTGACCATATGCTTCGTCTATTCGCGTGCATGTACAGATGATATTGTAGTCTATCTCATGGACGGCCTCGAATCTAGCAAAGACAGGGCAATACCCCTCGTCTATGCACCACTTCCTGAGTACGATTTGCCAGACGAGGATGACGAGGAATCTGAGGATGAAGACATGAAAATGGCTCCTCTCCTAAATGGACACACTCATCCGATGCCCCCTCCTCCATCTCATTGGAACGAGAAGTATCCACACGTCCCATCATTTCTACCTCCATTTCCTCATGAAAATTCTAAAGAGGTCCAAAAACCTCCATCGCCATCTGTTCCTCACCCTGTAAAAGTAGAACGCCCCCCTTCACCGCTTCCTCAACATGTATCTTCAACCGCCATCCCTGATTACATCACGCAGGTCTCATATTCTCAGTCAACCCTTGCGTCACAGCCAGAGTGGCATCTTCCCTCTCACCCACCATCTGGACCCCCTATACGAAATTCGTCGTCACAGACTCCATCAACCCACCCATCTCTTATCGCGGCTTATCATCACATCCTAACACAGCCACCACCGCATACCACCTCCGTAAATCCTTCCAAGCACAAGATCTCTATGGCTTTGCTATCACAAACTCAAGAAAACTCGCGATGGACTGCCCCTGATAGTCTATACTCCAGCGTCACACCTTGTCCTCCTAGAGTCACTCCAATCGGACCTACCTATGCTGTCCCTCTCACTGCTCTACAGGACAATCGCGCTGGAAAAGATGAGGCGAAAGAACCAGAAAAGCGTTTCCCGTATCCTCCAACGCCTCCGCGGCCAGTATTTACAAACGAACGCTCAATATTTCTGGCATCACGGCATGCATCACGCATACCAGACCTTGCTCGACAAGTGTTACCGGTAAGAAATTTCCGTTTTCGAAATATCAAGCAAAGTTTTGATGCATTGCTACACAGGGTTCTGTTTACATCAGAACCACGCGTCTCGCACACCCTCCAGCTTTGCAAAGAGGAACACAAAAGCTACACTATGGCCCTGGCGTGAATGCCCCTTGGAACGCGAATTCGGGGACGTTGGTAGGCGCTGGAACTCCCACGTCACACCCTAATAAAGACCCAGACGCGAGTGGTTCTCAAAATGGGAAAGAAGTTTCATCAAATGTGCTGCCTGATGCGCAGTTGTTTGCTACTTGGGAGTATGATGCGAAGCACTATCAAGAAGCTCTACCTGTTGGTCGTCGGAGCAGGGTTGGAACATTTAGCTCACCGTCGGTGGCACTTTCACTGGGTGGGCGACCTGGGAAGTCAGGATGATTTCTCGACGTGTCGATATTACCTGTTTTCTCATTGGAAAGACGCGACCAACTACTATGTATGCCCTTCTTGAGCTCGCCGAGCGGAGCGGTGGTTCTAAAGCTGTTTGACTCGAGAGAGTCAACTGACGGGGAATTTGCACCGTGAATTACTGGGTAACTAATTTGTGGGTCGTTATTCAAACATATGTTACCGCATCATTTTTAAGCCAAGTTGCAACCAAAGTCTTCCTGTTCTTGAGGTAATGAAGGCTGTGTTGGTTAAATTTAATCATCGCAAAGCACAGCTTAACACAGTGCAATCGCAGTACTACTATGTCATCGTTTAAAAATGTTAGCGTTCGAGACGCAGTATAAAGTGTTCAGTTTACTCTAACCCAGTTTGCTCCACTCACCGTGACCTCGAGGAAAGTGATGAACCCAAGCTCCGCGCACTCGACACACTTTGGGATCCCGCGAAGGAATCATCTGTTACGAGGGGTCTCATTTGCTCTCGTGCTTTATCTCACCCAAAGCTTTGGGCTTGAAAGCGTCGTACGTGCTCATCCTCAGACGCGACGTATTGGGAACAGTTCACAGTCATATAGTGTTCCCTTGCCGCCGCTTCTCGCAAAAAACCCTCCAGCCCCATCGGTCATCAGTAGTGCAGCACAGAAACTTGACAGCGTTCTATCTTTACAATTCAGCGCACTGAATGAGTCTGGAGTCGATAGCATAAGTGTAGCCGTTGTGACATCCAATGGCTCTGTCTACGAAGGCTTCTGGGGCGTAAAGCGTGCTAACGAAACAGATGCTGCACTCCGGGGCACAGTTGACAGGAATTCCATCTATCGTCTTGGGTCTGGTTCGAAACTAATTACTGCTCTCGAGACGTACATTTTACGCAACCGAGGTGTACTGAACCTGTTTTTCATTTCATCCAAACTTAGCGGGGGCCATTCGCTGACTTCTCTGTTCTTTATATCCGTAATCAGGGATGATTCAGTTAAGAAATATATACCACAGCTCACCTATATTCCAGAAGAGGATCCAATGACCTTTCGTCAGCTTATGAGTCATATGTCGGGGCTAGGAAGGGACTGGCCTCCTGGCAATACTAGCAACGCTTGGCCGAAGACGCTCGGTGGAGCAGGCCCACTATATTATAATGGCCAACCCTTTCCCACCCATCAAGATGTATACGACGCCATCGCATACGATCCTCTCATTGCTCCACCATATACGTACCCCATTTATTCGAACACAGGTTACTCTCTCCTCGGCATCACCAACGTCGCTGCCAATGAAGCATTTGAAGGCTCGGGTTCACCTACGACACACGCTGAGCTTGTCAAGCGCGATATATTTGATCCTCTAGGTCTCAATGGAAGCTCCTTTTTTTTGACGGATGTCAACAAGCCACACGTTGTCGTGGCTTCTGTGGAGACGCTTGAGGCGGTACGTTGACAGTCCATATGCACGCGGGTGGATTTAACCAGAATGTATCGATAGGATCTAGATTTCGGGGACGCGACAAACCCATATGGCGGCCAATTCAGCTCGATATCTGATCTGGTCAAATTGATGCAGACGTTCCTCGACCCAACCAGGCCTGAGAGTCTCATTTCTCCATATACGGTAAGAGAGTGGATGAGGCCCATGTATGTATGGCCCGATAACTCAGCTGTGGGTGCGCTTTGGGAGATCTTCCAAGCCCAAGATTCGTATGGACGAGAACAACTTGTGTATCAGAAATGTTCGTATTCATCTTATGCTCGGTTGAATACTGTCATCATTAATGCTCCAATACAGCAGGAGATTTGGTTGGATATCACTCAGCATGGACGATCAATCCAATCAATTCGTATGGTGTAATTGTGCTCACCACTGGAAATCTTTCGGAGCCCGTTCCTCTCACAAATTTGGTTATCGAACAGGTGCAGTCTGCATTCGACACTGCACTTGAGAGCGCTACTAGCGACCTGCTGGTCGGGTCATGGCGCTCGGACGATGGACAAGGGGAAATCACCATTGTGATCGAAGAATGGTCTCTTTTCGTCACCAACTTCACGCTCAATGGAACAGACGTTTTATATGTAATGGAAAGTGATGGAGATTCAACGCAACTACCCCTCTGGTCCACCAGCGTGGACGAGTATAAGTAAGTAAAATTACACATCAAGATACCCATCCACTAATGCCTTGATAGGCTCGCAGTTTCTTCTGGACAAAACGGCTGTGAAGTCTTATGGGTCGGTCTGGATGGATATGGATATATCGATGGCTACTCGGTCAACTTATTGCGCGTTTCACGGACTGGAAACAATACTACTCTTCTTCTTCCTGCTACTGGAACGGAGTTGAAACGCCAGTAGGAGTATGAATGAGCAGAGGAGTACCGAATAGCCTTTTTATTATTTTTAACATTTTCCATCCTTTTAAGTTGTATCCTGTCGCACTTTCCCGTACGAACAGGATGGTCGTTGCTATATATCCTTATTTCAATTTCAGTGGAATTAACCGAATCAGTACTTCGAACTTGACGAAGTTCATGATCAATGGTCCGATTTTTTGAAGCGCTGCGCATTACCCAGTGAACAGGCGCCGAGTCGTGCATAAATAAGACGTATACATCCCAACCAAGTCTGTTCTTGTACTACTTACATGGAAAAGCACACCGTTGGCAAGCCACCAACTCATACTGGCCCGGGCAGCCACATACAGTTTCGGACACCGCGATGGAGTTTTCTCTTGAACGGAGTTTTACTTGCTCTTGTACTTTATCTTTCCCAAAGACTAGGGCTCGAGCCGCTCAACAGCGTTTCCCAAAGGACTCATAACCATAGTCGTGCATTGCATCCATGTCGTTTTCCCTTACCTCCAGTCCTTGCCAAGAGTCCCCCGTCACCTTCGGATTTAGTCATCAGGGAGGCTTTACCGAAACTCGAACATGCTTTATCTGCTCGTTTCGCAGCGGGTGGGATCGACAGCATGAGCGTAGCTGTCGTCACATCGGACGGCCCCATTTATGACGGCTTTTGGGGCCTATTGCGTGCTAACGAGACGGAAGATGAAAATCAAAGGGCCGTCGACAGGCATACTATCTATCGTCTGGCATCTATTTCGAAGTTAACTACTGTCCTGGAAACCTATATCTTGCGTGACCGTGGAGCACTGAACCTGTTTGTGGACTCCAAGACTCGCACGCATATACCCTTCCACTGACTTTACTGTCAATTTTTTTCGTGGACAGGGACGATCCCGTCAAGAAATTTCTGCCGCAGCTATCGTATACACCAGAAGATGATCCGCTAACTTTTCGTCAGCTTATGAGTCATATGTCTGGACTAGGGAGAGACTGGCCTCCAGGTGACTCTAGTAAAGCCTGGCCAAAATCCCTGGATGGTGCCGGCCCACCGCATTACAATGGCCTGCCCTTTCCCAGTCATGAACAATTCTTCGATGCAATTGCACATAACCAACTTATCGTCCCACCATATACGTACCCCATTTACTCGAACACTGGTTTTTCTCTTCTTGGTCTGGCCAATGTAGCTGCCAGTCGAGCGTTTGAAGGAGGTGATTCGCCTCAAACGCATGCCGAACTCCTCCAGCGCGACATCTTCGATCCTCTAGGGCTCAATGGGAGTTCTTTTTTGCTCACAGAAATCAACCAACCACACGTTGCTGTAGCTTCTATGGTGACTGTAGAGGCAGTACGTTGATCATCTATCTGAGACCTCTCAAACTTAACGAAGTTCATCCATAGGACCAGGATTTCGGGGACGCGACAAATCCCGCAGGCGGTCAATACGGTTCATTATCCGACCTAACCAAACTGATGCAGACTTTCCTCAACCCATCTGGACCTAAAAGTCTGATTTCTTCCTATACCATGAGAGAGTGGGTGCGACCCATACACGTGTGGTTCGATGATTTCTCTGAAGTAGGCGCTCTTTGGGAGATATATAAATCCCATGATTCATACGGACGATCACAAAAGATCTATCAGAAGTGTTCGTAAGGGTGCTGATATTGGATTCTGTCTCAGCTAACGTCTTGAATGCAGTTGGCAATCTGGCGGGATACCACTCAGCGTTCACTATGAATCCAGTCAACTCGTATGGTATCGTTGTTCTCACCACAGGCCCAACCGTGGGGATTATTCCACTCATAAATATCATTATCGAAAACTTGCAGCCTGCATTCGGCTTGGCACTTGAGAATGCTACTCGTGATTTGTTGGTCGGGACGTGGCTCTCGGATGATGGCCAAGGAACAGTTACCATTGTGCTAGAAGAAGGGTCTCTTTTTGTCACTCAGTTCTTATTGAACGGAACAAATGTTCTATCTGTCATGCATCAAGGCAAACATCCGACGAAAGTACCGCTCTGGTCTTCTGGAGAGGATGAGTTTAAGTAAGTATTCAGCGCGCTGTACGACATACCCGTGCTGATTCCTTGTAGGCTCGCAATATCCCCCGAGGCAGACGGCTGTTTGTTTTCGTGGGTTGGTCTCGATGGCTTTGGATACATTGATGGTTATTCAGTCAACTCTTTGCGTGTTACACGCACAGGAAATGATACCATCCTTCACCTTCCGGCTACTGGGACGGAGTTAAAGCGTCCATATCAATCGTATCCATCTCGCTAGGCCCAGACAGGACTACCTTTAAAAGCCTTTTTCAACGCCAGCTCACTGCTCAGCCTCTGAGAACGCGGAGCTTGTGTGATGCCGCGAACTGAAAGAATCTTTGATCGTCACATTGTATTAATGGGTTGTCGATGAATAGAGAATATTTGTATTTTGTGGATGAGAATGTTCCATAGTAAGCACTGAGGCAGTCCAATTCATTCCACGGTCAGTCGTTGATACCTGTACTATAATACTATTTGCAGTTTATGAGCAATCACACAACAAAATCTGTGCATTCGTGTCGGTCTCAGCCATTATTAGAATATCATTACTACACCGATACACCGTTGATACACCGCAATGCAAAGACACTGCAAGCTGATGAACGGAATCGTTGACTCGGGTAAAGCAAGGGCCCGCAGTTGTGACTCGATGGAGAGGTTTAAAAAGGGAGCCTCAACTTCATCCAAAACTTCACAGACAACATCTCGCTCCAATTGAAACACTGAAACCATCCGATGGGATTCATTCGCGTCAGCACCTTCCTCTGTGTTGCATCCCTTGTGGTGATGACCTTCGCAGCTTCCGTAAAATCTCCAGGTCGGAATGTTGCATTATTTTGGCAAAAGCATTTCATGGGTTAATCATTGTATGCAGGCTTAGAATTCGACGGGGGAAATAACCTAGAGGAAGGGTCAATTATAAAGGGAAGAGATGATGACAGTTTCTACTTCTTGTCCCCGGCAGGTAGCGATTGACTTGGCTATTGATTAACCACACATTCATCGATGGTTGGCGGGATTTTTGGGAAAAAGGCTTAGCAATGGATCTGCTGGTGCTGGTTTTGATGATGGCATGGGCTGTTTTTGTTGGCGCATGTGTTACATCTAGGAAAGGAGACTGGGACATACAGATTGTTGTCTTACAGAATAATAAGACCTGCACTTCGATAATGAAGATAAATATGTGTACATTTAGATGCAAGGCATAAAGCACATTTGTGTAAAACAGTAAAACAAACACAATGTGACTCACATTCCTTTTTCTCCGTGATGCGACCTTTAACTGCGACCTCACCACCCAAGTAACAATGGGTGGTACCACTGCAAAATAGTGTTGCTGGTAGATGAGCCGAGTTGAGTTGGATGACACATCAATGCATCAGTTAGTCTGAAACCAATTCAGTTTTTACTACTATGGCTGGACAATAGATGCCATTGGTCTGAGGAGAAGTTGAATTACTCACCAGTCGTTGAGCTTGAGGCCATCGGAACTTGACCAGTAGATACAATTTTTAGTTTTCTAGCTGCCTATGTAGTAAAATAAGCAAGAAATAGAAGCGTTGGGGCAGCGGAACAAAACCGAAACGACGACACACCTTTTGGAATGGTTCTGCAACTTTCGGTCACACTAGGTCACAGCGGCACTCACAGACGAAATCGGGCGGAGCTCGTCGGCAGGATTCCGCCAAATGATCAAACTGCTGGTAAGTGCATTGTTTCAAGTTTCAAGCCATGAAAGTGAAGGATTTCAGCAGAAAATAAAATACATTATATCTATTAAACATGCTATTATTACTATGTATGAGATTAATAGGTACATAATAAGGCATATCTTGGAAATGTTGAGAAATACCTGAATTTGATGATGGAGAAAATGTCAAAGTATTATGAGGAACCTCAAGTGACAAACCAACAGGCATGGATATGCCGCTTCCAGATGGGAGTGAAAACAATGTTGTGGAGGCTGAAGGAGGGGCAGCTTTTAGAGGATCTAGCAAATAACGAGAAGGCTCAGTGTTTGGAGGAAGCTCTGAGGTGCCCTATCAATGTAACAACCAAGAGTTTGTATACTCTGGCGCACAACTCAGACAAAGCTATAAAGAAGTGAGGGGAGTGGTTACCCTTTAGATAGGACCAAGTCAGTTGTGGGTAAACAACAGGAGGACTCACTCAGGAGTCTCCTTCTATTGGGGTATATATACTACTACAGGTTTGTTTGTACATGTGTACTGTACAGTTGATGGAGGCAGTGGCTGATGATGTCATGGGGCACAGCCCGTGCAACCAGCTCCACTGCGTGAGAGACTTGTAGCTAAAATAAGGAAAAGGCAGTGCAGTGCAAGAAGGTGGAGTTTGAACAAAATGGAAAGTGCCGCATGGCACAGTGTGTGAAAACTATAGAAGAAAGTTAAAGAGGAGAATGAAATTCAAAGGTCCAAAAATTGTGTATCATAACAATCAACAAAAAAAGTTACTATATATCTAAGAATGGAACTAAATGAGATATTGGTATCTGATGGCACACGAGCCACTTCGTATACTAGGCCTGCCTAGTTTGGCGATCTTACCACTTCTCCTCTTCAAGTAAAGCTTGCTTCTCTCATATTTCCAACACTCCCCCTCAAGCTGTATGGAGTCCAAGGGCACTAGCAAAGTGTTTGACCTTTGCGGAGGGTAGAGCTTTTGTGAGTATATCTGCTGTCATGTCTTCGGTTGGACAGTAGTTAATTTTGATCTTTCCATCCTCAATAGCATGTCGGGTAAAGTGATAGTGTATATCAATATACTTGGTGTGTGCGTGATATAGGCTATCCTTGGATAGTGCAATCGCTGATTGGTTGTCACAGTGCAACTCTGTTGGATGTAGGTCCTCTCTAAATAGTTCGCTGATGAACATTCACGTCCATAGGATCTCCTTCGTTGCATGCATAACCGCTGTTACGATCTCTATTGGACATTTAAGGACTACTCATTTCTTTTTACTCATTGGTTATACCATCGGACCGATGACTCATTTCCTTCATGTACAATTCCATTCCTCTCGCATTTACAGTACCTATTATAGTACTTAGTCTTCAACAGACGGACCTGCCCTAGATAGGACCTAACTCCTATCACCGATTCCTTTCCACTATAAATACCATGTAACAGCAGTAGTATTCTCCAATATGATTCTATGCAGTTTACGCTTACAAAGCTAGACTCCTAAGATCAGACTTCTATTCAGAAGAAGACCAACTCCCGTTGGAAAAACCTCCACTCAGAACTACGTTCTCGAACTTGTCTTTGGATAAGTCTCTTTACAAACCTCGACAAACCCTCAGACTTTGTTAAGCACTTCATGCGTAACAAAAGAATCGTATTCTAACCAGAAGTCCCACCTATTTAGGTTTGGGAAGAAAAAGTCGACAAAACGTCGCAACGACCAACAACCAGATCCCAGAGAGCAAGAGGAAGCTCAGACAACCCACAAACAGCAACCCCACCAACGTCATCCCAACAAGAAAGGATAGCAGCACCACCTCCCTTTCCCCAACCAGACGTAACCCGACTCCACACCAGAGAACAAGCAGACGCTTTCTACGAAGCCAGAACACGTTGGCTACAGTACTACGCAGGAAGCCACCCACAGCTACTGCCCACAACACAACACAATCCCCCAGTAACCGTAGAAAACATCTACGACGAGAACGACTTTGAAGAGTTTGCAGCAGGCAGCGACCCGGTACCACCTCCCACTCCACAGATACTCCCTGCCGCACCTGCTCCATCCCATATCCCACCACCACACACCATGTCTAACGCTGCAGCCCCCAAACCCACGATGATCGGGAAAATTGATGACTTCGATGGAACCCCAGATAAAGCCCAAAGGTGGATATCGTCCACCGATCTACACTTTGATATCAACGACACCATCTACAACGCTGACAAGAAAAAGGTATATGTGGCCCTCAGCTACATGAAGGATGGCAACGCCGCCTCATGGAGTGAAGCCAAGATGACCGAATACAAAGAGAAGAATGCCTACCCCACATGGGCAGACTTCATGAAAACCTTCACAGCCAGTTTCAGAACGGCAAACGTCAAAGGAACGACCTCGGCCGCCTTGATGAAAATGAAGATGGAACAAGGAGAAAATGCAGTAGCATTTAACTCAAGGTTAATGCTAGATGCTGGGAAAAGCGGCATCAACAATGAAGCCATGATCATGGTCTATCAAAAGGCTATCCGGCCACCCCTCCTTCGTGGGGCACTCACCGGAAAGGAACTACTCACCATCGAAGACTGGATGAGCACAGTAGCGGACCTAGATGCTAACTGGATCAGTGCCAACGCTATCTTGGAAGGAGCGTGGGGCGCCAGAAACAGAGAGAGACAGAACGACAGAAACCGCAAAAGTGGACCATCCACCAGCACCAGAAGATTAACCAAAGACGAAGAAGAATCAAGGAGGAAAGAGGGAAGATGCTTTATATGTAACGAGAAAGGACACATAGGAAGGGATTGTAGGTACAAAGGAAAGACTCCCGAAAGAAAGGTACATCAAACCGAAATGGAAGATGACACCAAAACAGTGGTAGAAGAAGACAGGGTCCAAAACATCATGAGGATGTGGAGAGAGTTAGGAGAAGATCAACGAACAGAGGCGATGAAAGAATTGGAAGACCAGGGTTTTTAAAACGACGGACTACCCCGATGTTAGTACCGTCGAAAATGGCAACTGTAACAATAGCAACAATCAATGCCAACTCTTTACGAATTGATTGCTCGTTGAAACAGAAAACCATCGGAACCAAAGCCCTGATAGATTCAGGAGCTACAGACGACTTCATGGACACCAAATTCGCCATCAGACACCGACTCCCCCTCCAAAAACTCCCAACTCCTATAACATGTAAAAATGTTGACGGAACCACGAACAAAAACGGAAAAATTACGCATTGCACCTATCAGAGGATAAATGCAGGAGGACAAAACAGGTTCACAAAGTTCCTATTGACCGGACTAGACGGAGAAGACGTATTACTGGGATTTCCCTGGTTACGAAAAGTCAATCCCGTCATTAACTGGAAAGACAAGGAATTACCCAACTCGGACAAACACTATCAGGACGAACCAAACAACCACGGAAATAAAAATCAGGACAACCACGGAAATAAAAATCAGGACAACCACGGTAAATGAAGATGTGTATGAAACCATTCATAGATACGTATCCGACCAAACACCCTATCCTCGAACCACAATTCGATTAAAAGTCAACTCGGCAACGGAACACGTGCAGATACACGGAGAAAAGAAGGAGCATAACCTCCCAAACAAATATAAAGAGTATCCGGATGTCTTTGACAAAAAGAAGTCGGAAAGACTCCCCAAGCAATGGGAATATGATCATGCAATCAACATGAAACCAGAATTTGTACCAACAGATTGCAAGTTATACCCATTGGCACCAAAGGAAGACGAAGCATTAACGGAGTTCTTAACGGAAAACTACAGAAAGGGATACATCAGGCCAAGCAAGTCGCCACAGGTGTCCCCTTTCTTCTTCATTGGCAAAAAGGATGGATCACTCCGACCGTGCCAAGATTACAGAAAACTGAACGCATATACCGTGAAAGACCCCTATCCACTACCCCTGATACCCAACCTCATCGAAAAATTGAAAGGAGCCACCATCTTTACGAAACTAGATCTACGTTGGGGATACAACAACGTAAGGATAAAAGAAGGAGACGAATGGAAAGCTGCGTTTAAAACCAGCAAGGGAGTGTTTGAACCAACGGTCATGTTCTTCGGCATGTGCAATTCACCGGCAACATTCCAAAGGCTGATGAACGACAAATTCAAAGACTACATCGATGAAGGTTGGATGATCATATACATGGATGACATCCTCATCTTTGACACGAACATTGAAAGACTCCGAATCTGAACGAAACAGGTTCTACAAAGACTACGCGATAACGACCTATTCCTAAAACTAGAAAAATGCACCTTCGAAGCGGAAACCATTGAATACTTAGG